TTTGCGGGCGAGGCGCTAGATTTGATATATCCACACGTAATCGTCAAGTTTAAACGATTCTACCGCCTCGCCCGCAAGCGACCTCGGCGGTTTGAGGGTAACAGTTTTTTGAGATTTTGTATTTTTACCAATTTATATAAAGAACGATTTCACCTCAAATCTGGTTTTGATATATCCACACATAATAGTCAACTTTAGAAGATTCTAACGCCTCGCCCGCAAGCGACCTCGGCGGTTTGAGGGTAAGTTTTTTTATAAGAAACTTTGTATTTTCACCAAGATATATAAGCAATGATTTCCCCATAAATCGCTGAGGTCGCTTGCGGGCGAGATATGAGGAGAAGTTTGTTTGAAGGATTGAAATAATAAATAAAAGAATTATTGAAATAAATTTATTGAGAACAAAAATCGTTTTGTTAGTCTTAATAATAATGATTAAAAAAGAGTCCTGCAAATTGTTGTTTTTATTAAAATATCTGCCTTTTTATGCCTTTTTTTAATATCTATTAATAACGTCCGGATGCAAACTCGAGCCGAGAATTTTCATCCGCAACGCATCACGTCTTTTATATATATTTTTTTGTATTCCGAGCGGTGAATATGTATATTTATATAATATATATGTGTCGTGTATATACGTATATAGTTGTATACATGTATATAATTACTAAAACGAATCCACGCAAAACTTTCGTCGGGTTCTGTTTTTATTTTAAATCTTCTTGCAAATCTTAAAAATATAATATCGTACCTCTCGCACTTTTTTTGTTTGCTTATACACACTCGTTAACTCTATTTTATTTCTTTTTTCACAGCCTAATTATATATTTAGGTGTACGTGTGCGGAAAATGAACGAGCGGGCGGTATTTTATAAAATGAAAGTGATTAAATAAGTGAAATAAAAAATTTATATTTATACAGAGATATTTTTTAATGCATTTTTAGAATTTACTCTGTATATAATAATAATAATAACAAAATCGATCATTTATTTCGTGAACAAATTGAGTGCGAATGAGTGTGACCGTCCTTTGTACGGGAGGGGATGGGGGGATTTATTTTTTTCTTTTTTTGTTTTATTATAAAAAAAGGAGAAACAATAAAATATTAAAAACGATGGCACATAACTGTAATCAACAATACTTATCTAAAATATGTTTATAAAATGAACTAACGGGTCAACGAACACTTCGTAATTTAATAGAAAAAAAAGTCTAACAACTTTGTCTTATTTGTGATTTATCACGAGTGTAGTGAGTTTATTTAAAAAATAAAGGAAACGAACATAATTAAGTAATAATATCAAGAAATAAAAAAATCTTGCGTGTATTTCCGTCGATGTTACCAGGTAGAAATCGCTTAGATATAAATATTTATAATATCTCATATGCTTTATGAACAAATTTATGAATAATTTTTTTTATGAACAATATATTTCTCTATATAAAATTTTTCGATCACAGTTCACCGTTTTTTTGTCTTGTATTGTGGAGATTTTCCAAGGTAGTAGTAACATTGTATTTCCGGTTGGTAAAAAAAACTGATTAAAAAAAATATAGAAAATATAAGCGTACACGATTATGATATACATGTAACTTTCTTTTATTTTTATTCTTCAACGTTATTCTATATATATATAAAGTTGAAATCTACAGAGCCATCTGTCGTGCGCCGAAACTTGGGAACGTAAAGAATATTCAACGGGGGCCTGCACCGAATTATAATTAAATAAAAACATTTCTTCATAAAAAAAAAAGTATTTTCGGCATTTTTACAGGATTTGAAATAAAGAAAAAATTTCGACGTCGCCGACGGATGGCGCTGTTACCCACGGAAAACGCCCTTTCCCGACTTTTTTTTTTACACTTCTCTTTTAAAATATATTTGTTATTGATTATTCCGCGTCGGATAATGATCCACCATACTTTTATTATTATTCAACTCCTCGAGCTCCATCTATTGGCATTGTATGTAAAACTTCATCCAAAAGTTGTAAAGCTCTGTGCAAATGAACCTCAATCCAACACGGAGTCTCCTTGATTGATTTCCTTAAATAATCCGGACCCCAACCTTTTACAAAACTCAAACGAAGAATACATAATCTACGCAAATCGTCAACACCTATCCCAGTTGCAGCTGATAAACCTATTCAAAACATTTTTTTATGTCACTTAAAGATTTTGTAACATTTATAATTACTTATAGCTGGCGCTATTCCTCCAACTGAATGTGGACCAGGTATATGTCCAGCAACAGCAGCCGCTTGAGCTGCAGCAGCTGCTTGAGCTGTAGCAGCTTGAGTTGTTATTTGATGATGACATTGTCGTAAGTCAAATACCTAAAAAATTAATTAATAAAATTATAAAACTCCTTTAAAAAATGTGTTGCGATATAAATATTTACTTTTATGTAAGCTGAGGGATAAATTTTATGAACAGCGTCTCCTGGTTGTCGACCCGCTTCTCGATCTAAATAGTAACTTTGAACGAAAACTGAATGATCACTTAAACAGCGTAACCAAACATCACCTTCACCTCGAAGATCTAATTGGACCCCTTTTCCAATATGTAACCTAAATAAAAAAGTTTAATCCTAATTTTTGTATTATTTTTATTGAACCAACCTAGCTCTTTCACTATGGTCTGTGCGATGCACATTACTCAAAGCACCCAAACAGAATCGATTTCCCCCAGATGGATCAACATAACCATCAATCGTAACATTTGGACAACTTGATGGGACTTTAAATGTTTCACCAACTTGAGTGTCAAGTTCAAAATACGCGACGGAACACCAATATTCAGGGGCTGGCTGAGTTGAAAGTGGTCCGGAAATATTCACTTCGTTATTATGATTCCAATAAGAATTCATTTGTTGATTTCGATTATCTGGCGGTTGCATTGATTGTGTGTAAGTTAAAGTATTTGATCCCGTCCACGTCCCTCCTGTTCCCGTAAAATTATTTTGTCCCATTGTTGATGCCGGCTGTGTTACTTGACCAGGAACAACATTGCTTGTTGTTACAACGGGACCGCCTGTTGTGCTGTTAAAACCATTTTGTTGAAGATTAGGCGATACTGGAGAACTCGTTGTACCTAAATAATTTTATTAATTTTTTTTTTGAGACAATCATCTATATATACCAATTGTTGGAGCCATCGTATCAGCAGGTGCTCGTTCTGGAACACCAGAAGGTTGTGGAGGATTGTAAAACGGTTGAGCCTGTCCATGTAATGTAGTATTTGACGCGCTTTGAGGTTGCTGATGTGGTAAGGTGGGCGGTTGGACTTGCGATGGACCTGGAAGGTTATGTTGGTGAACAGGAACAGGTGCTAATTAGAAAAAAAAGAACAAAAAAAATCAGGAAAACATTAAATCGAAAATAAATTAAAAAAGAAATAAATAAATAAATAAAAATCTTACGGTGTACTAAATGCATGCGTGGTGGAACCCAATTGGGTCTTGGACATGCATCATTTGGTGCCTCTTGTTTAGGAACGGGCTGTGGTGGTCCTATAGGTCGGCTGTTGTTATACATTCCCGGATTACCTAACGTCGCAACATAAATAAACCGTGCAAAAAAAACTAAAACATGATATGTCATATTAAAAACGTATAAAATGAAATCTATAACTAAAACGGCGATTAAAATAACTGGGTAAATCACGATGAGTACCGGCCAAAAAATTAAACAGAATTCAACCGGTAAATAATAAAAAGCCGAACGATTCAGGAACAAAATAAAATCCACCAACATCGTTGCACTGATTATGTTTCAATTAGGTCTTCGACTTCCAAATATATCAAACCCCTCTCCATTCAAAAACTACTCATAATTTGATAAAGCATGCATTCAATGGAACAATTCATTAATCAACATTTTCTAAGAATATCTTTACATACCTTGAGGTTGTGGGAGACCTTGAATTTGAAAATTTTGTTGAGGTGGATGATGTTGTATCGTTTGAGTGACGGAAACTCCTAATTCAGTGTCAACATCCATGCTCGCCCCTGGTACGGGTCCTCCAGCAGTGTACTCATCTTTTACAAGCCGCGTAGGTCCCGTTTGCAAAGTCAACCCGGATAAGTCAATTCCCGGCGATACAACTCTCTCGTAATGATACGGATTCACACAAACCGAATCGCATTTTAAATCGAATGCAAACTGACAGTATTTGACATGTTTTAATTCGTTTTTATGCAAATCTGGCCATCGCCAAATTCTTGCGTAGATCACGTGTGGGAAACCTTTACGCCCAGCAACCTTAACAATAATTATTTAAATATTAAAAAATAATAACGTATTTCAAAAATTGATTATATTAATTTAGTGGTAAAGATAACAATTTCTAAGAATTTTATTTCGACGTCTTCGAAGTCGACCGAGATTATTTCTTCCATAAAGTTGTTACTGGTATCACACGTGATTCGGAGCGTAACACCAAGTCTATCCTGCTTGAAGTTTTATTGGACTACGACAACGCACTGAAGATGCCAAAACGTCAGGCAAAATAAATTTAAGATGTGGCGGCCGACGTCTTCGAAGTCGGCCGAGATTATAAACATGTTTTTTTAATAAAATCTTTGGGTTCGGTTGGTTTGTGAAGTTTTTGGCTTGGGTTGGTTTAACTTGGGATGCTTCGACTTGGGTTGAGTCGGTTTTGGTTTGTCTTGGGTTGGTTTGTAGCTTGGAGCTGTTGGCAAGAGGTAAGATACCATTTGGCCAGATCTCTAGTATCACGACCACCAGAATTTTGTAAACCCACGTGAGAAAAACCTTATCTTCTTTGAATTTGATGGAAGAAATAATCTCGGCCGACTTCGAAGCTTACAAAAGACTAAATACTGCTGATAGAAGACTGTAGTGTCGGCAGAAGAGTAGATATTGCTAATGGAAGACTACATACTACTAGCAGAAGACTAGATAATGTTGGTACCCAAGACTTCTTGGGAAGTCTTGGAAGTTGGTCAAGATTATTTCTTATATCACGAATATAACTTGGGGCGGCCGGCGTCTTCGAAGTCGGCCGAGATTATTTCTTCCATAAATTTCAAACTGGTTTGGAGAAATAATCTCGGCCGACTTCGAAGACGTCGGCCGCCCTAAGTATTTTTCATGACACTTCTTGGGACATCTTGGAAGTTGGCCGAGATTATGCTTCGTCAAATCAACGACACATTTAAAACTTGGAAAGAATTCTTGTTCTTGATTGTTTTGTGCTCATTTTCGAAGTCGAAACGACGAAGCATTGCTTTTGCGTAACTTTGGAATTTCTGAGATGCGTTATCTGAGGTAATTGTGTTGTTGTTTCTTGATTTATAAAACTGGAAAATATAATGTGCAGTAAAGTAGCACTATTAAGAAAATGAATGATGACGTAATTGTTCGTGTCAAAAGTCAGGTAACAGATAGACTTGATATATCAATATTGCCCAAATCAGTGCAAGGTAATATTGAAGATGTAATGCCCACTGATGATGATTATACTAAACAAATAAAGAATCCTAAAAAAAGAATAATTTGCGCCATTTTCTCTCCTCTAATGGACAAATAGTTAAATAATAATAAAAAATGTCGCCTATTTGATGAAGCATAGCCATTTTGTATAAAAAATAATCATAACCTTCAATGGTTAAAAGAAGATTTTTACACAATTTTTATATTTTACAAAATTTATTTCGCAATTAATAAAATTATAATTGACTCATTGAATGAGTATAATGTAAAAAATATGAAGTATGTGCAATTTTTGAGATATTTTTATTCTTAATCAAAAAAAAATAAAATGATTAGTATAGTCTTATTTATTTATTTGAGTTATATTTACCTGTAATCTTCCATCTAATGTTCGTTGTATAGTAACACATTTGCTTGGATGAGCTCCATTGGTGGTTATGGCTGTAATAAGTGAATCTAATTCGTCCCTCTTTTCTTTTAGTTTCTTAACAAGAGATTCAATGGCCCTTTTAGCAAAACCCTCGCTTTCGCCCCCTTGTCGGTGACACATTAAGCTGTGTACGATGCTGAGACAAGCGTCTGCTGAGGTAGGAGCATTCGTAGTGAGCCCTGACATTTCTGTCTTTTTCTTATAACTTGCAACACTATGAAGACATAACCTCGTAATTAAATGATGAAGGGCAGCGTTGAGTCAGTCGACCGCCTTAAATCATAACATAATAATCATAATATTTAGTAAACTTGCCATAAGAGATTACAATACAACTCCCACCACCGTTTTTACTAATCAATAATAGGTTGGTTTATTTATACATTGTAAATTATAGATACCTTTTCGCTTTTGACCGGAACCCTTTTTTTCATCTATGGTTGTCTTTTTCCAGTTAATTTTTAGGTTAAACTTCGTACGGTTTCGGACTCGAACATCGTTAGAACGAACAAAGACACCAAGCGTTTTGCGTTTTATTCTGCATTTGAAACGGTCTCCGGTATCAAAACCAGTACTCGAAATATATACAGCACACTTTACGTGGCTTAACCTACACTGTTACTGATTTTATACAACGAACTTTATTATACAGTATACATATAAAAGTCGTATACATCTTTTAAGTTGGCAATATTCAAATATTGGCAACATTCGCTGTCATTCGCCAAATATAAAATCAAATTTATAAATTAAAACTTTTTATATTAATACATTAAATGTACTAAATTACCATAAAATCGATCTAATAATTTAAAAATTACGTTCTTTTCTAGTATTATTGCAAAATTTAGTATAAATTTTAGGTTAAAAAGGTGACATTGACATTTCGAATAATTAGAAAAATGTCAAAATACTTCTTAAAATGTTAAATATAATAAAATTTATTTAATAAAATTTGAACAGTATAAGTTAGGTCTTAATCCTATTCACCCAATATAAATGAGTAAAGTAACTGTTACTTGAACGAAATGTAAAAATTTTTGTTAAGGATCGTCTAACTCGATATGTTGTGGCGCCTTCCGTATAAAACCATTTAAGATCGCTTTAAAATTCATTACTTAAACGACTTACGAAATGATTAAAAGTTAAGCTGTATGATTAGCTTTTCCGGGATGCAATCGAAACCGAAGATAAAATAACCCCGATTTATCGACAATCGTTATTTCAATTGAATAAAAAAAAACGGGATAAGAGATAAATTTAGCGACGTGGTCAATACGAAGCTAATTGTTTTGTTGTTTGTTAACTGTTGAGATTCAACTCCCAGTTTCATTTAATCATTAATAAGCCTTTTTTAAGTTTAACTTTTATGTTATTATTTTAAATTATTTTAAAAAGGTAAGTGTTTTTAATAATAAAGTAAATTTTATTATTAATAATAAACATTTTAATAAATTCAAATTGTATTACAAATTTGATTTTGAAATCAAATTAAATCAATCGAAATTTTGAAATAAATAATTCCTTTATTAATTTGATAATTTTAATTAACAAATAAAAATTAATTAATTCAAATTTAAAATAAGAAATATTAATCGAACATGAATGATATATTGTCTGCCTTTTTTATGTCTTATGTCGCGAAAGCGCTTGCGCAAATTGTAAATTTTAAAGAGATTAAAATGTTTCGCGCGTATTTTGTGCGGATTTAAAATGCAATTATTATTGCAAAACTATAACGCAACTTTATCTAGGTTTACTTTAATTATAAATTATCATTGATGCATCAAATAAATTAGAATTTGTACTTTTGTGTGTAATTGAGTTTGAATATTGCTTTAAATTTCAACTTTATCTACTAGGCTCCTAGGTTGTTCATTAATTTTTTTAAAATTAAATTAATACATACATAGTAATTAATTTTTAACATGATTTATAACCTCACGCTATTTAATAAAGCTATTACATTTATCAAAGATATAATAAAATTCATAAAATATGTACTTATGTAATAATTACATTTTAAGTAGCTTAGTCCTAAAATATGTTAATAATTATTTATTGTACATATGAAACCTATAATCTGTAATATACAGAGTGTCCCGTTAAGGTTTTACTATCCGTGCAAAATCTTCGTAACCGCTCAATGGAAAAAATTGCGGTAAAGTTTATAGTAATCAGTGAACATTTTTGCGTATTACATGTTAATTTGGACATTTTTGGGTCCGCGGTTTTTCTTTTATCGCGAGTTAAGTAAAAAAAGTACCCGATTTTTGAGAGTGCCTGCAACCTTGTCTACTTTGCGATTTTTTTTCTCCAAAACTATTTGACAAACAAATTTCAAATTTGAACTGGTGGTAAACCGATGTATTCTTAATGTGGGGCATATTTTATTTTTTCGATATTCCATATAGTTTCGCGGAAATTATAGTATTATTAATTATAGTATTTTTTAAAATTTCGCGGTGTTTATTTCGAAAACGACCTGGCGGATTTCAACGCGGTTTTTACCAAAATATGTCAAATAATGTTGAATTACAAATTAAAGAGAAACAGATATAAGCTATCCGTCCAATTGGAACAGATGGTGTGTCCTAGACAGTACGTCGCGCCTTTATCTTACCTACATAAAGAAATAAGACGAGACGTCGTATTTGCAGTAAGACCGTTTGGTTTAAAACAAATAAGCGATTACATATTTTTGTGATTTTTTGTACTATTTACTTCACAGATGCTTAGTCACCATAAAATTTGCTGAACATAGTGAAAACCGCATCTTGATATTGCCAGCCGTTCTCGAATTATAGAAGAAAATATTAAAAAATCGTGTATCTTAATCCGATCAAGTTACCTTAGCAAACAAATAAGAGAGCACAAAAATGTTATTATCTAGAACCTTCCTTCACACTTTATCCAAGCTTAGAATTGGTTCAAAACTACTCAACTAACGAATCAATGAAACATCAACAATGATAATAAAACAAAATAAACCAAAACACTTAGAATTACTAAAATGCCGTCCATGAACCACGATACATTTATTTAATCTAGTGTCGACGGAAAAAAACGCTATTTAAGTCTCAGCCTTGGACACGTTTCAAATGGCATTTACTTTTTTGGCATATTTTCCTTTTTTGTTGGTTTTTCTTGAAAAGTCTGGTCGTTTAGTGTAACTCATACATAAAAATCTAAAAAGGGGCTTTGCTCGAACCAAGAATGCATATTATGCTAGTTTACACCAGCTTGTTGAAAGATGCTTCATGCATCCATAGCATTTGTGATAAAAGGTTTGGATTTGCCCGAATCATATTTAAAAGTTAATACCTATAACCCCTCAAACTTTTTCTACTTATACCTAAAAAGCAGTTCTTTAAATTTGATTACCGGTGCGGAGCATGCTTATTGGATCGTGTTGACACTATTAAAGACCTGGGCATTACTTTAGATAGCAAACTACTGTTTGATCAACACGTTGATGCAGTGGTGGCCAGAGCTAATAGGATGCTGGGATTTGTAATGCGCTCTTCTGAATCGTTTTGCTGCCCTAGACCTATTATTTCTTTATACAATGCTTTCGTTAATAGTATTTTATCGTTCGGCAGTACAGCTTGGAACCCTCAGTACGACGCATACATTAACAGAATAGAGAGGATTCAGATAAGGTTTCTGAAGTATCTCTCGCATAAATTCCGGCATCCTTATACAGATTACGAATCTGCCTGTCAAATGTATCATATGCCCACACTTCAGCAGCGCAGAACTTGCAGTGATGCCTGCTTTCTGTTCAGGTTGGTCAGAGGTTACTGTGATTCTTTCTATCTTCTTTCACGCATTGATCTGCATGTTCCCCCTCGTCGGCTGCGCTATGACTTTCTGTTCTATGCGCCGACTGCCCGGACAAATTCGTATAGAAATTCCCCAATACTTCGCATGGAGAGGACAGTGGACCGTCTTGGGTTGGACATATTCGCCGTCACGCCTCACAACTTCAAACAAATTATTCGTAATGCCGTGCTCGCCCTACCAGTTGTGTGATTTTATGTACATTATCTCGTTGCAGCGGCTTGAGTTCTGCCTTGAATTGATTTGATCACATATGCTTAAGGCCATTATCAATTGATCGATTGTCAATTTTGTGTTCATACAATTTATTGTATACAAAATGTATTATAGTGGAGTAGCTTTTATGTGGGACTGTGTCCTGTTGCTACCCCCGTGTGTGTAAATAAATAAATAAATAAATACCTGATACACCCTGTATAAGTAATGATTTCCCCTCAATTAAATAAAATTGAATTTGAAGAAATTGCAAGAAAGGATATTCAGATGTATGGAAAATATGGTAATAGAGTCAATAGAGATGATAGCATTATGGAATCCATGACAGTAGCGAAAGAATTAATAAGATTGTCTAGAAATTACAAATATTCAAGCAAGTCCAAAACTAGATTGCAGAGTCTGTCATGTACCATAAAGAATATCTGCTTTGAATCAGGCAAGTAAAGCATGTCTCTTTTTATGGTACATGACAAAAGCACACGAGTATACATATATACACAAATATGTATAACGCAAAAAATATTCGAAATAAATAAGTAGTGGATAATAGTTAAGGCCTGATGTAAAACAATGTGTTGATACATATTATTCTCATAAGGAATCTTGTGGACAATTGTTTTCGGGGTTCCCAGATTATATGGAATTGTATTGCGCACCAATGTGATTTACGAATTTATAGAGATGTCTAAATGGGCTACATGAAAATAAAAAAAAAAAATGTCTTTCTTTGTCGTAGTTGTATTGCACATTTTTGCCATGCAGTATCATACTATAGTATCATAGGATTGATGGCAGCCGAGTTTTTAATATTTTCTTCTATAATTCGAGAATGGATGGCGGTAGCAAGATACTTCAAAATAATTTCTCTTGCCCATTTTCACACTTTGCCTATAAGGATTTTTTTCCCACCGTTGTCGAGATACAGCCGCGTCGTACTCATAACTAAATATTTAGATTTTAAGTTACGTTCAATTTAAAATCGTTTATTTGGTGATTTATAAACATCAAGGTCATCAGCTGCTATTAATTTTTAATTCTACCGTCCAATAAGATAATAGCGTGCTCACGCATGCCTCTTGGATAGAATGGACATAACAGAGACAGACATAAATATATCTGCACTCTAGTTTTGACACTATTTTTCCGCCGTAGTCAGTTAATATGAGATAGTATATATATGACTAAAGAGGTAAAAAATGAAATAATTTCTGCATTACCGACATTGTCGTGACATGACACCGGTTTGTAGCGCCTCCTTCTTTCGCATTATAACGTAGAGTAATTTGTAAATAGGGTGTTGGGTAGGAATTGGGACATTTTTGGTACGTTTAAGTGTGTAAATTGGTCGCTCGATCGTTATTGTAAAGATCTATAAGGTAGGTGAAGTCATAACGTGGCATTTTTGATTGTCAAAATCGGTTTAGATTCTTAGATTTCTTGGCCAGGGGGAGGGTCATTTGACCTTTTTGTTATTTTCGGTCAAACGGGGTGAGATGTGGGTCAAATTATGAAATAATTCCGTTCAATTTTCAGGTTTTTAATAATCTCGGTGGTCGGCAGCCCCCTTAAAATGCCAGCTGTTCGAGGAGATGGCATGCGAGGCCTTGCAGTATTTATATCTGACATAAGAAACTGTAAGTGAACTTTGTGATTTAACTATATATAAGGATATGATTAAATTTGATTTAAATATATTCCTTTTTCTTTAGGCAAGAGCAAAGAGGCGGAAATAAAAAGGATCAACAAGGAATTAGCTAACATACGAAGTAAATTTAAAGGTGACAGAACCTTAGATGGGTACCAAAAGAAAAAATACGTCTGCAAACTTTTATTCATATTTCTTTTGGGTCATGACATCGATTTTGGACACATGGAGGCGGTCAACCTCTTGTCTTCTAACAAATACTCAGAGAAACAGATTGTGAGTGGTTTAAATTTAATTTAAAGAAATTAAAAAATGATTATCAACATTTTAGGGTTATTTATTCATATCTGTGCTAGTCAACACAAACAGCGAGCTTATAAAACTGATTATACAGAGCATTAAAAACGATTTGCAATCCAGAAATCCTATCCATGTTAATTTAGCTTTACAATGTATAGCAAATATTGGCAGCAAAGAAATGGCTGAAGCTTTTGGCAACGAAATTCCAAAACTGCTAGTATCAGGGTGGGTATAAATAATTTTTATTTCGATTACATCATTAGGATTAAGATTTTTTACTTTAATTATATCAAATCTTATCTGTTAAGATATATAAATATGTTTGAATAATACAATTATTTTATAATTTGTAGGGATACTATGGATGTAGTGAAACAAAGCGCTGCTTTATGTTTATTGCGATTGTTTCGTACCTCCCAAGAAATCATACCAGGAGGCGAATGGACCTCCAGAATAATACATTTGCTTAACGATCAACATATGGGTGTAGTTACGGCCGCAACCAGTTTAATAGACGCATTGGTTAAGAAAAACCCTGATGAGTACAAAGGTTGCGTGTCTTTAGCAGTTTCAAGATTAAGCAGAGTAAGATTTTTTTACAATAAATTCCTTGAAATCCAATCTTGGAATGTAAATCCGATTTATTATCTCGCGAATAATTAAACAATCGAATTTTTCTTCGAAATTGTTTTTGAGTCATCATATACCCAATTATGCGAATTGTACCAAATCCAATCGCTTTAAATTTCGTTCATTCATTCTCAAGATAAGAACATGATTTACCTCCCATGTTTTATTATTTAATTATTTCTATTATCCTATCAAAATTAACTATTATCCATGCCAAAAGTTAATTAAACATTTATAAATTAAAAAGATACAGAACGTCGCGCCTTTATCTTACCTACATGAAGAAAAAAAGGCGCGACGTCCTGTCTCTGGAACATTCGCACCGATAGTAGATTAATAAAAAGAATCAACAAATTTCTTTATGTTTTTATAGATTGTAACAGCTAGTTACACAGATTTACAAGATTACACATATTATTTTGTGCCAGCACCATGGCTCTCTGTAAAATTATTAAGATTGTTACAAAATTATACTCCCCCAGCTGAAGATCCCGGCGTTCGAGGTCGTTTAAATGAATGTTTAGATACTATATTGAACAAAGCGCAAGAGCCGCCGAAATCTAAGAAAGTACAACATTCGAATGCTAAGAATGCGGTGCTTTTTGAGGCAATTAGCCTAATCATTCATAATGACAGTGAGGCGAATTTGTTGGTGCGCGCTTGTAACCAATTGGGTCAGTTTTTGAGTAATAGGGAGACGAATCTCCGATATTTGGCGTTGGAATCGATGTGTCATTTGGCTACGTCTGAATTTTCGCACGAAGCTGTTAAAAAACACCAAGAAGTGGTGATTTTGTCGATGAAAATGGAGAAGGATGTGTCGGTAAGGCAACAGGCTGTTGATTTGTTGTACGCGATGTGCGATAAAACTAACGCGGAAGAAATCGTACAAGAAATGTTGAATTATTTGGAAACTGCCGATTATTCGATTCGCGAAGAAATGGTTTTAAAAGTTGCTATTTTAGCTGAAAAATATGCAACCGATTATACTTGGTATGTTGACGTGATTTTAAATTTGATTCGAATAGCTGGAGATTACGTTTCTGAGGAGGTTTGGTATAGAGTTATCCAAATAGTAATAAACCGCGATGAAGTGCAAGGATATGCCGCTAAAACAGTCTTCGAAGCTTTACAAGCCCCCGCCTGTCATGAAAACATGGTTAAAGTTGGCGGATATATTTTAGGAGAGTTTGGTAACCTTATAGCAGGGGATCACCGCTCTTCGCCGTCCGTACAATTCCAATTGCTCCACTCAAAATATCATTTGTGTTCTCCAATGACTCGCGCTCTTCTACTTTCAACTTACATCAAATTCGTAAATTTATTCCCTGAAATTCGTACTCAAGTTCAAGATGTCTTCAAACAACACAGTAATTTACGTTCAGCTGACGCTGAGCTTCAACAACGAGCTTCTGAATACTTGCAATTAAGCATTATAGCTAGCCCAGATGTTTTAGCAACCGTTTTGGAAGAAATGCCAGCGTTCCCAGAACGGGAAAGCTCCATTTTAGCCGTACTAAAAAAGAAGAAGCCAGGACGTGTTCCTGAAAATGAAATTAAAGAAGGAAAAAGTCCCACTCCGGCCACAAATCACAATAACGACGTAAATAACTCAACTTCAACCGTATCAGGCGATTTACTTGGATTATCAACACCTCCAACATCACAACCTGGTAGCGGAAATACCGGGGTGCTTCTAGATGTTTTAGGCGACATTTACGGAAAATCGAACAGCGCCACACAAAATAATATGTATAATCCGAAAAAATTCGTTTGCAAAAACAATGGAGTCCTTTTTGAAAACGATCTCATTCAAATCGGCGTAAAAAGCGAATTTCGTCAAAACTTGGGACGTCTTGGATTATTCTACGGAAACAAAACTTCCTTACCTTTGCAAAATTTTGTTCCTACATTATTGTGGAACGATGAACAAGCTTCCAAAATGAGTATTCAAATCAAACCTGTTGAACCTACTTTAGAAGCTGGCGCGCAAATTCAACAGATGTTGAACGCTGAATGTATTGATGATTATACAGGTACATCTCTGCTTTTAATTTATTTATGGCGAAATGAATTTCATTTTCATTTTAGATGCACCAAGTATGGCCATATCATTTACTCATAATAACGTTTCTCAAAAGATAAACTTAAAGTTACCTTTAACAATAAATAAGTTCTTTGAGCCAACGGATATGAATGGCGAATCGTTCTTTGCGAGATGGAAAAATTTAGCCGGGTATTAAATATATTGGTTTTTATTTAATGGAGATTTTTATTATTTTGTTTTGTTTTAGTGGTAATCAACAACGCTCGCAAAAAATTTTTAAAGCATCAACTCCAATGGATTTGCAAGCTGCTCGAACGAAAATAATGGGATTTGGAATGCAACTTTTAGATGGAATAGATCCGAATCCGGATAATTTTGTTTGCGCGGGTATAATACATATGAGAACCCAACAGGTTGGGTGTTTATTACGTTTGGAACCAAATAAGAACGCTCAGGTATAATTTAATAAATTTCAAAAAAATTTATTTTTGTAAATATAATTTATTTTTTTGTTGCAGATGTATAGATTAACTGTGCGTTCCAGTAAAGAAAGCGTTTCGGTTGAAATTTGTGATCTCTTAGCCGATCAGTTTTAATTAGTAGATTCCCATAAACAAAAAGATTAAATAATAACATGAGGGTGCATTCCATTGAGTTCTAATTGAAAAAAATTCGGGTCAAAACGAACGAACAAGCTTGTATTTTTTATTTTTTATTTTTTTTTTGTTGAATACGCTTCTGTGTAACTTAGAGTTCGCTAACGAAAAATGGCAAAGAACAAAAAATGAGACAATATTATAAAAGTATTTCAACAGTTTCATAACATATATTTGAATACATTAAATGTATTTTCTAATATCAGTCTTGTGGGTCCATATTCGAGTGCGTTTTGTTTAAACCCGTTCGATACGAACTCGTGAGACATAGTTAAAGAAGTTCTAATTTGTGCCCTTATGTCAGATTTAAGGCAAACGCATGGTTCCCTGGAGGAGTCGTCTCTTTCGGAATCAGGGGGAAGACTCAAATAATAATCTCGAAATTCTAGCAAAACACTTATAACCAAATTTCTATTATTAATATATTATTATTTTACACGTTTATTTAAAAATAGCCGTTAAGATTATTAACGATTTAAAACAAATCTAAACGACGACGTGTTATTATTTGTATATGTTGATTGTATAAACCAGTAAAGAAAATGCTTATATCTATAGTACGTAGTCTACGTGTATTGTCTATAGAAATTCCATTATAGTTATCGTTTTTCCGACATAAGTTATTCCTATTTTTTTATATATCAGTACTCATGCATGAAATGCATTTCATGTACAACTATGTTATGTGTAATATACGATCCAAATTTAATAGCGTTTTATCTCAATACTATTTATATCCTTGGAAAAATCCTTCTCAAATCCGAAAACAATAAGATAGATTTTTCCTAATCACTAATGTATATTAAGTTTATTAACATATTTTTTTTTAGTTCTATGAGAAGATCTCGACCTTTCTTGAATATAAATTAAAAACGGTCACCATTTCAAGGACTCTAAACGGCTTAAATAGTAGATAAATACTCGATGAATAGACGATTTATAACGAGATAAGATCCGTTAAAGTAGTTTAACGGGATGCAAAACATTCATGCCGGATACAAATAGCAATAATTGCCGTTTGGCTCTCGCGAACGGGAACCCACTAATTGCGCAACGCGTTTAAAGAGCGAAGGTCTTTTGTGGCACGGTTTAGTAATTTTGTTCGGACTCGAGGTTTGGCACACATTACCGAAATAGAAGTCCGTTTCTATATTTTCCCGGCCTGTTTCTGGGATGGGATGCGATGCGCGTTCAATTTGCGGTATTGCTCGAAACGCGACACCCAAACCAAGTTGCGTGTGTGCAATCATGCGTATCTCCTCTTTGGCATTGAATAACGGCCGAATCATATCAAATTCATTTGAAAGATGCCAGATTTTTGAGATCGTAAAAATTTTCTTCAGTCGCAGAATGTTGAAAGATTACAGAGAAGTATATTTGTAGGTAGTTGAAAAGAAAATCTCGGCTCTCGGCAGCAGATGGTCGATAGAGGGGAATGTAATCTAACTTGAAAATTTTAACCAGAGATGGGTGAACGTGTAATGGGTGGCGAAGATTGAATGGATGTATTACCTTGTTTTCTTGTTAGCCTAACTAAAGAGGACATTCAACTGGCGTGTTCGTTGTATTGAATGAACCGAAAGAAAGTTTAAGTAAATATTTTTATCTTGTTTATTTATTTATTATAGTTAACAACATCTTGTTATTTTTTATTTAGGCGGGAGATCGGAATTCGGAGTCGCCACCGTCATGGTGACGTAAGAGGTGACGCATGTTTGAGCCTCCTCCAGCGCCAGGCGTATGTCTTTGCCGTTGGACAGGTGTTGGCTGGCAGAGGGGATACCAGAACGGCCACGCTACCGAGATATGACTACCTGTTCTCTCTCGGTTTCAGTTCCGAGGCGAACCGCGAAATGACCGCCGGGGATATGTCGGGGCCCGTGTTGGCCGAATGTTATCCGGACGCGCGTCGCGACGTAAAATGACCGTTTCGGGACCTCGACGCGGCGTACGCCCAGTTCCAGTGGCTTTATGTGTGCCAGGAGCCAGCCCAAGGTTGTTTTTCGCGTGCCTAACGCCGTACGCACGCTCCACGGTGAGTTTCACAATTATTTTAAACGACTCTCCTCTCAACCGCTCCTATTCTCTTATTCTTTCAATCTTATACTTCAGCTACTTCGTTTTCGTCGATTTCCTTTACTTGTTTGATGTATTTTTTTGGTCCGTCATACGTTTGGAGAAAGTCCGCTTCAGGCATTTTCTCCGCGCTGCGCGGCCTTTATTGTCGAAGAATGGCGCCTGTTTAACGCGAACCTGGCGTTTCGTCCGTGGTAATTCCACAATGCACACAAACGCACTCTTGGACCTTCGGGAGCCGATGAACTCGACGCGCAGTTCCGTTTCAGCGAGCAATTCCGAACGATCTCTCGTTCAAGAATCAACGTTTTTGCTTAAAACGCACCCAAAGACCCTATTATCTATTGTAAAACTAGCTCAAGAAACGATGGTTTTTCGTTCCTCTTTCTACAAAAGCGGAACGGATAAGTAATCACTTTAAGCTTCGTTTTGTGTTACCACTTGCCTGTTTTTTTTAAAACTCTCCCAAGTTCTTAGAATTAGAGAAATCTTATAGAAAAGAGAACTAAAAGGAAGAAAGACAACAACCCAATTAAACCATAAATATAATTGTATATTGGATATAATTAGGTTCATCACATATTTCCAAAAATAAACCTAAAAGAACTTCTTAGAGTTGCATAAAAAGTAATTTAAAACAATCTATGAAGATTATGTTTACAAGTGGTAATTATTAGTTTTCACAACTGAAATGAAAATCTAAAACTTTCACTTACAATTAGTAAATATAAAACTAACAAGACAAAAAAAATCAACATTAAGAAAAAATTAACATTTCCATGACTAATGCATTTATACTTAGACTACAAAAACACCCATGACATCATACGGTGTTGATTCGAAAAAATTCCCAAAACTGTTTGTTGAGTGAATGAGGCATTAATTTGAATTTTTTATTTACGGTTTTTATGAATTAATTTAATTGTCATAGAGAAAGCTATTACAAATTCAGCTCAGGTTATCAACAATTGCAAATTTGTGCTACTTTATGTGGGTTAGTTATTCATGAAGCCTATTAGTAGTCCACTGCACGATTTTAAAACAGCATGTCAAACATTTAGCCGGTGTTCGACAGTTTGAATATTAATTTCGCGGCACTTAAAACAGTCTTCCGTTCCATTTATGGCCACGAAAATTTTACCTAACAAAAAATTGCCTATTCAACGACTTCCTTTAAACCCTTAAATCGCTTCCTGAATAATTCCCAACTTTTTTTTACTTCGGTTCCGCATTCGCGCTTTTGTTTACTCTGTTTTGCGTCGCGGCGCCCGCGCGTTCCAAGCTCCCTGTGCAAGGGGAAGGCGCCTGCGTAGTACCGCCTATGGATCCGGAAAATTGTCGGAAAAACAAGGAAACGTGTCGCTGTCGTTAACGCCGCGGTTATGACTCAAATTCGTCGCAAATTTTTAAAATATCTAAAATACGCTGTCTCGCGTTTGATAATCGTTTGCTGTAACATGTGAATTTAATATTCTGCGGCCGCGGAACTGATAAGCGGTTGTGTTAGAGATCAGGGTTGATGTAGGTCATATATGTGGGGAATTCCGAGCGCGTTCCAACATGAAAATAGGCATTTATTTTTAATCCTTTAGCATTGAAAGCCGAAACGAAAATACCGCTGGATTCAACATGTTTTCGTGCTTGTGGCGGCTGTGGGACTGGTAAATATACCTCCACGCAAACATGTAGTCCTAGATTTAAACGTTTATTTATTTCGTTCTGATTTCTCGAAATAATTTTAGACAACGACCTATAATCCTGGTATATATATAACTCATATTTCCTCTTTCGAGTGTAAGGGTGTATTCACCCCCTTCCTTCACAAAAACAACTGCCGAACCAATATCGCAGATGTTTTTGTCCGCTGTGAAAGGAAATATGTATTTACAGGCAGGATGTTTTCATTTTTTATGAGTTACACGGTAGTTGTAATAACGTTGTTTGCTCCGAGAACAATAGAAAAGTTATACGTAGTAAAATCTAAAAGGTTTCTAGAAAGTGTTCGATAAATGATATTTGGTCAAATGCGATTAACGCCGAGGGTTTATGGAAAGCTGCGCAGTCGTTCGAGCGCATATTAAAGCCCATAGGGCAGGTCAGCTTCGAGCATGTGTTTACGTTCTGCACCATAAAAAATTCAAATTCAACACGGACGACTTTAAATTAACAACTTAATTTCACGCGAATTTAACTTGACGTGCGTTACGTGACTAAAATCTCGATATTTTTTATTCAGGTTGGACTCCACCAACATGGATAATAAGAAGGTGACACCGAACGTGGTCGGCAATCCCGAACCCCCCCAAGAACCCCTCGGGAAACACGCGCACCAACACAATTTGGCCCCACAGCATCTGCGGCTACTTCAATACGGTTTAAAAATACCTAATAACCAGCAGTACGTTCACGTCCATCAACACCCTCAGCCGATTTATTCCAAATACCCGCAACAGTATGTGCATCAGCATCAACCTCCAAAGGCGCAACAGCCGATATATCACACTCAACCACCACCGCAACCTATTTATGCTCAAGGGCCCTTGACTCAACAAAATGCGCAAGTATGGGTACATTATCACCAACAAAAAGCTGAAGCTCAACAACAGCCACCTGCTAAAGTCGTACAACCAACGATAAAAAGTAAAGAAAATATCGATAAGAAGAAATCTAATAATACTCACGTTCAATTACGCTCGCCAATCGCGAAAAGACCCCCAGAAGCGCCGGTTGCCATGCAAGGTTGGCTTCATAAGCAGGGATCGGAAGGGTTAATGCTTTGGAAAAAACGATGGTTTGTACTCTCCGAGTATTGTTTGTTTTACTATAAAGGTAAGTTTAAATTAAATTAATTACATCATTTATTTATTTTTTATTAAATTTAGGCCCCGAAGAAGAAAAACTATTGGGTTCAGTATTATTACCATCGTACAAAGTATCAATATGCGGACCAGAAGATAAAATAACGCGTAAACACGCTTTTAAATGCGAACACACGAATATGCGCACATATGTGTTATCCGCGGATTCCCAAGATTTAATGATGCAATGGGTGAGGGTTTTAAATTTGGCCTGCCTTTTACAATCAACCGTCGATTTAGACCAATCGGTACAATCCGCGTCGACTTACGTTAACTCGGGGGAAAATTCCGATTCAGGTTTCTTCCAACAATCTTCGCAAACGATACGGAATACACCCGTACATATGCACACGTCGAGTAACACGACTGATTTGAGTAGTCCGAGCCAAGAAGCGAGTCAATACAATCAGCCTTTATACGCTAACGCGCCCCCGAAACCACGACGATTAAACGATGCTGGATATTCATCGCCCAGTCCGGAAATTCTCGATCGTTATCACGCTGAACCGAAATATATCAGCCCCCCTTTTCAATACTTGACGCCTCCCAGGAACGCCAAGTCCCCATTAACGATTTATACACCACCGGAGTATGTTCAACAAATCAGTAGTAAAGGAATAAATGATTATGGAGTTAGAGAATATGTAGTACAAAACGTCGAGAGGCGAACACCTGATACTTACGGACGGTCCAAAACGAACAACGCCAAAGATTATGAAGATATTTACGCTGAACAATATATGTACAAGAGGCCGCTAAGTCCATTGGCTTATAGCAGTGTTAAGAAATCGAACCCCACAATACCAGCGATGCAAAGAACTTACACACCCGTTTCGATGCTTGGACCTCGAGATATAAGTCAATTCGTACCGCAACAGCGGAAATCTCCCTGTAATATTCCAAGGCCCCATAGTGCGGATTTTTTGGAATACGAAGTCAATCATAGGCAACCAACCCGACAACAAAGGCCTAAATCTAGTTTAGATATTAATAGAAACACTTCCAGCGACAATTACTTTTACAGTGAAGAAAGATATGCCGAAAAAATGAGAAAATCCGCCCAATACCTTCCAAACATGCCTCGTTATATACAGCAACCTCAACCTCAACCTAAAAGAATAGACATGGATAAAACTTTTCCATTAATGAAATCAAATACTCAACCCATTAATTTTACCAGCACGCCTGTAGAATACCAAAGAACAGAACAACAGCAACAACAACCTATTAGAAGTCGAAGTGTATTAAGCGAAGGATCTTTATCGAAAGAATTCGAAGATATTCGAACCAGTCCGCGACCTAGGTATGATCAAGGAAGTCTTAGCCCCTGGCAAAATCGACCCGATCAAATCTATGGATATTCTGATGATTCTCGTATACGTGAACAATTCAATCGATCTGCTAGTGCTAGACTTACTCAAAATAGCTCTGTCCAGACCGAAAGAGGAAGCGTAGAAGGTCGAATCAACAGGGAAGGTGAAAGAAAGGTAAAATTTATTCTTTAATTTTTTTATTTTTTATACAATGTATGTCCTTGTAAAATGATATTTTGTTTGGTTGATTAAATTACATTCCGAACAATTTATAAAAGAGATATCCAAAAGAAAATGTTTCTCATTACAGCGAGAAGAGTCGATGAAACGGTTGTTAGAGTGGAAGCAAAGGATGTTGCAGTCGCCGTTAAATCGCAAAGTTCATCAAAACTTGAATCGACCATATCCGCCGATGGGAAAGGATCCGTCGTATTTCAAGAGTTTGGAGTATCAGAAGATGGATCCATACATGGATCCCAGAGTGGCGGCGGCGATGCAGTACAATAGTTACTCGTCGGACGACGAAGGTAGGTTGGACTTCCTCCGGAGAGGGTCGTAATAAACTGGTGTGTAGTTGGCGGGATGCGGGGTTGTCTGTCTGAACTAGGTCCCTCCTGCCTGAATTGAAGTCTTGGGCCTCCACTTCTGTAACTAACATATTACGTCGTCCTCCTTAACTTTCCGCACGCCCGTTTCGTTTGACCACTAACCCAATTACCCTAAATAGTAATATTAACCGGTATATTAGAGCTGGTAGTGCCACGGAGTGTGCGTAGAGAATTAAAACGACACCTTTTTTTTGTGCCCGGTTCAGAACAAGTGGACTCGACTAAAGAAAGCGTACAGGCAGGATGGACCGCGGACTCGCGCCTTTCTGACGTCTCACTCGCACCTATTTCTACTGTTACGTTCACCGCACCATCCCCCGCTTTGCACGGTCCTGATGCCCCAAGCACAACCGAGAGCACTACCATCGATGGCGACGTTCTTACTCAGCCTCACTACAACAAGGAGTCCTCGACAGTTGCTCACGTTTCTAGTTTACGCCTTGATTATGATAAATCAAACACAACCGACATTAAAAGCAACGGAGCACTCGTCAAAAGTATTTTAGCGGAATTTGAAAATAAAAATTCTGAAAATATTGAATTAACCGAAAATATCGACGAAACTAAAACTCCAACAAGAGATGTTGAATTATCGGCTACAAATGTTATTGAAGAAAATTACATGACCATGACTCCAAAGAAGAATATATTAGATCCGGCAACGTCAAATGAGGCTTTAACATTAGAAACGGATGAAAATCCTTATGTGGAGATGACACAAGGCTCCGATTTGTGTCTTTTAAATCAACAACCATATGAAATGGTTTGCTTTGGAAAATCAGAACCTGTTTATATGGAACTTCACCCTACTCGGGATATTTTAAACATCGACGATCCCAAAAAATTACCCGATATACTTATGTTATCTAAAAAGAAATCATCTGATAGCTCTGACGCTGATGATGAAGCATCTAAAGATCTCGATTCGTTGGACACTCCCAGTCACCCTAGATTTAGTTTATCAGATTCATTTCGACCTGCTTCTTATTATTTGGGAGCTACTCAAACTGCTCCAGAACTTCAAGATAGTTCTGATAGTGAATTAGTGTCCCCACCTCCAATTCCACGATCACCACCGCCTCTCGATGAACTTGATGAACGCTCCAGTGCCCAAGAATTTAGTTTAACAGATGAACAAAAAGATGAGTTTACATTTTCAAAATTTTCAAAATCCCATAACAGAGATGGCGATAGCTCCTCGTTATCTCATAACAGCGATTCCGATGTTGAATTAAGAACACCCGGTTTAAGGGCTTATGAGAGGATGTTAAAACGAAGACCAGTTTCTGAGGAATTTTGCGGCGAATTGGATTCGTTAGATAGTCGGTATAACGAAACAATCGATAGCGTTGATTTGGATAAGTATTTAAGGGATCTTCAAGTGTCTAATGTTGAGCATGATTACGAAAATATGTGTATTGTGAGTCAAAGAACTCCGGAAAGTAGTAAACCATCGGTTTGTCATAGTAGACAAAATAGTAGAGATACGCATGATAGTTCAAGATCTTTATTGACTCCTGATTATATTCATAGACGTGCTGAAAGTAGTGCTTCTATAACGGAAATAAATAGCATTCATAATTCCCGGTTATCAACACCTGTTACAATGAATAGAAGCGCGCCTTATTATTATTCTGATTTATCAATGAACACAACTGATAGTAACTCCACCATTTTAACTTTAAATAATCAACGAGGAAACATGATTAATAAACGAGACATAACACACATTGTCAATCCGATACGGTGCTCCAACACAAGAACTTCAAGGAATGTTGGTAGAAATTCTCGCCAGAATTTAATTGATAACACTTTTAAGTTGGCAGCTGAAGCTCGTTCGGTTTCAGTCGATTTCTTAAATCTAACAGATAAATCTGGCCAAATTGACAAGAAAAACATTTATGAATCAGACACATTAAAAAGATTAAAAGCAATCGATTCTATTACAAGTTTACAATCAAATCCAGAAACAAGAAATTTATTCCCAAGCACACCGAATGAAAAGTTTAACGATTTGGATCCACCGTCATCGAGCGTTAGACGTTCTCATTCATTAGAAGGTTTATTAGAAAATGTTTTAAGTGAAAACGTTGACGCCAATGAAATAGAATCTCCAAATGATGAAGGTAGAAATGCGATAGCTGAAGGAAGTTATATGTGGGAAGAAGATGCGATTTGGAGGGAAAGATTACGCACCGCTAGTCAAAGACATACGAAATCTTTGGACGATTTAGATTGTATAGGCGAAACGAAAAAAGATAAACACAAGAAACAGCCGCGTGGTATAATGAGAGGTGTTACATATGTTAATGACAACGTTTATAACATGCCTATACAATGCAAACAACAAAAAGATACTGAAAATCAAAAGCCGGGTGATAGTCGTAAAGAAAATTTTATAATCGATAGGGAAAAATTACGTCAATGGGATTTGATGTCGAGTGCGCCATCGGACACGCAAAGCCAACAAGGGATAACGGTTGGTGTCGTAGCGGTAGACGTAGGTGATGAGACCTCGGCAACGCTGGGGCAAAGCACCACCAGTCAAGAACAAGGTACAATTTTGCATTTTGAACGACAATAGGTACTGTATAAATATAAATAGATGTAAATTTTGTATAAAAAAAAGTAATTTCTTTTTCTTTCTCACCAACAAACTCTTTTATTTTCAATTAACATTTTTTAAGAAACCCCGTTTTAACTCAAATTGATTTTTAGCTTCTGGATCGATTTGTATCAACAGCAGAGATACCGTTCCGAGAGCTTTATCTGCCAAACAAATGTGGAATCCTAATTCTCAATCGATACCCTCAAGATCAATTACTAATCTTACTAGGGAACACGAAAATGAATACGGATTGTAAGCGATTTTTGAAAAAATTATTTTGTTTAATAATTTAATTTTTTTAATGCAGATCAATTCGTCAACAACATTTTATGGGTCATCATAAGCATCATGATGGAAATTCTGGACAAAAGGTACCTAGACAGGTAAGAAGAGTAGTCTGATTTTTTTGTCAAATTTTCCGTTATTATTTATTTTTGTTACGAAACGCAGGGTAATTGGCACTGGGGTGAAAAAATGAACGTTTCCGCTGGCGAGTTGCTCGGCAGGACGCACGAAGAGCTTGTTTTGTTATTAATACAGTTGCGTAGACAAAGTACGAATACATATAACGCTATAGAGGCATGTTATACTGAAATAGAGAATATTCAGGTTTGATTTTATTATTTTATTTTTTACTTTTGTTTATACTAACACCACACACTTATTTGATACGACAGAATTAACAAATTTAACGTGATAGGCTCTATTACAGTAGTACAAATGTTGAAGAAATTATTCTATTTTTAGAAGGTGTAATTTTATTATTTTGTCGATTAGGGGCAGTTGCATAGAATGGATCCAGCTAAACAACTTGAAAATCTACAAAAATTGGAGCAGATTAAACAACATTTACTTGAACTAGAAAAACAGGTATTATTAATTTTTTTTTATAATTTATAAATTAAATAAATAATGTTATTAAATTATAGTATGAAAAGGGAAAACCCCTGGTTAATCTTGTTGACAACATGGTTAAATTAGGATCACTATATAGATCCCCAAACGATCGAAATATTAATCCATACGTTCGCGACAGATTAGAATTTAACCAACAAATCCAAGAACGTCGCCTTTTAGCGGAAGAAAGGCGCGATTGGAATCGCTTAAATCCCAATCATATGCAGCTACAAGAAAAAGTACAACAACTTTACCAACTTGATAGGCTTATTCAGGAAGAGTCGGGGACTTTACAAGGATTACAGCATGATAAAGAAGAAATTGAGAGGGCGCTGGGGGGATTACGTCATAGATTGCATAAAGGTTTTAAAGATCCCGCCGAAGTTGAACAAGCACGCAAACAACAGGCTATTCTGGAAAATGAACTGAGTAGAGTTCATTTAATGTTGGCGCAAAATTCGAAAAAATTGGAGGAGACCGTTGCTGGTAACGCAAGGTTGGAGCAAGAATTATTAGTTTTGAAGCAAAAGTTGCAGATTTCTAGGCAACAAAGGAGTTCACCACAATTTTCAAATGCAGGTATGAATTAAAATTAAAAAAAAATTTGTTTTGTTGAAATGAAATTATTTGTTTTATTAAGGTGATAGTTTGCCTTGCGTGGTTGGTACAAGCGCAATGTTGGAATCGGATTTACAAAGGGTCCAACAAAAGGTGGGCGATTTACAGCGTCAGCGACAAGAGTTGAGTATGCAGGTTCGCCAACTTACTGACAGGTCTAATAACCTCCAACAACAAATTAAACCACTTTCAGCTAATTCCTCAGCTAACTATCAAGGTATAATAAAACTAATAGTCTCGAATCGTTTTAGCAACATTTTGAAACATTTGGGAGTTGCTAAAATGTTCCTTAAATATAGAAAAATTTAGTTTTAACAAAATAAATGTGGGATAGGGTTATAATAGTAATAAAATTTATTAAACTCTTAATAATATATCTCAAATATCATAGGTAATAAAAAGAAAATACATTCTTTGTGGAGAGAAACAGACTTAGATACAATGAACATAATAGATCATGGGGAATCGTGGGAAAATTCAACAAGTTCCTTAAGTTCAGCACCAACAACGCCGCTTTACATAAATACTGATTTAAAACAAGCACCGGAAATGGAATTTTATAATAATCGATTAAAGACGAGTGATTCCACAAGCGAAGATACAACGCAAGGTTCTGGGTTGATGCCGCAAGAACGTCCAGAAATAAAAACGGTACGAATAGTCAAACGGGAATCTGAACGAAGACAAAGAGACCGCGAAAAGACTTCGACGGGAAAATGGGATCCTTTGCTGGAAGAAGATGCCTCATCTCAATCTTCTGGAACAATTTTTCGACCGGGGGTTGTTCAAAAAACTCAGAGTACCACAAATATAGGTTCACCTGGTTTTGAAACTGATAAAACTAGTAGTGGTGTGTTAAGCCGTCAAAGTTCGTTGTCCAGTCCAAGTTTACCGCAGGGGTTTTCCGATATCCGAGCAACTTCGAGTGAAGGAAGCGTCGATAAATCACCCGAATTATCACCTGTATTTCAAAGCGAAGCTGCCCGACAAATTATAACGGAAATGAGCCAAGAGACAGTTCCGAAACAATTAAATAGACGCGCGGTTCCTAAAGAAAAACGAAGACATTACACAGCGCCAAATAACAATTTAATCATGAAGAGCTTAAATCAATTACCCACCGATGATAGTTTCGATAAATTAACGGAACGCCGAGCTAGAGATGATTTGGACATGGAGAGAGCTTTAAGGCAGCGAATAGATGCCCCGGACGTGGTGCGGTCCACGTTAAGCAATAAAGAGCTTAAGTACAATGAGAACACCATTGATAACATATTAGGTACTCCAAATAAAATTAACATTCCGGAACGTTACATTCCGGAACAATTGCCTAAATTATCGGCCGAAGAAGAAGAACATAGACTGAGAAAAGTTGAGTCAATTAAAAAGATGTTGTCTGATACTACAATTATTAGTACTAGCTCACCTAATTTAGCTACAGGTAAGATATACACGTAATTGGTTCGTTTGAACTTTTCTATTCGTAGAGGTTTGAAATTTAGGTTGTTCATTCGGAACTTTTGATCTAAAATATTTTCAAGGTGGCCGCCACCTTGAACACCACTTCGTTATTTTAAATGGAATACTATAATTTTTATTGCACCTTTTAATTGTACGTAAAAAAATCAAATGTATGAATCATGTTTGATTACTTGTTAATTTGATTATTAATTAATCGTGTTTGATTAATGGCAGAATTAACAGTGGCAGCCATCTTGAAAGTATTTTAGATCACAACCCTGTATTATTAAATCAATTAAATGGATTTGTAATTATATATTTGATTTTTTTTAATATTTAGAAGATTCAAAGTCTGAAACACCATCATCAAGTATTGTAAATAAAGCAACGACGAAAATGATAGAAGAAAAGAAGCAACGCGAACATCTTTTGCAGCTAAATCAAATTCTGGCGAAGCAAGTTATGGAAATGAGTAAAATTGTAGCAGGTAAATAAAATTGAAACAAAAAAAAAAAAGTTAAATTTATAATAAAAAAATGGCATGGAGTTTGCACTTTATTTATTTAGAAGCCTTTTTTGACACTAAAGTGAATTTTTATTTTATTAAATTATTTTTTGCAGTTTTTTTTTTGCTATTAGAATTTTTTTTTCATAGGTTCCAAAGAATCCAACGAACAATGAATGCATTTTAGCAACTAGCTGATTGTTTTTAGGTGTGTGCCCACTTAAATTATTATTTTTTGTTTGCTTGCGCTTGTTCGTTCTGTGAAATGATGAATTAAAAAAGAAAAAAACAAACGTTGATTAAAAATTGTGTGTAGTGAAAGCATTGGCAAACCTGCCGTTGGAGGAGCAGCAGGATGATCTTGCGGACGATGAGGACTTGTCTCCAGTGATGCCTTTGCCTATATATCAGCAACGTTACAATTTTTATAGTTAAATATATTTTATAATGTTCTACATGATTGTTGCGTTGATTGTACAAATGTTTAAATCGTTGTGTTTGGCAGCACGGTACATTTTAAATAATCGCCCGGCTCTCTTCTCAATCTTTCTATTTCGACTCACGCAGTATTAACGATTTTTATTATACTTGTACATTTTTATACCGCGGAACGATTATGACAAGAAGAATTTTTTATATTAATATTGTATTATTTTTAATAATAGAAAGAAATAAAAAACGTTGTTTTATTTAAAATGTACTAACATCGTACTGAGTGCCAGACAATAAATAAGTATTGTTGTACTGTATATACATACACTTTATTATATTATATATAATTCTGTCTGATATGTTATTTAGTTTTAACGACTATTTAGTACCTAATAATATAAAATATATGCGAGTTAAACTCAGAATGAGAATATAATTAATAAAAAAATAGATGAGGCGTATAATATATTAAAAAATTAAATAAAAAAAAATGAAAAGTATATTTAACAATTGCTCAACAGTGTACTTACGTAATAATAAAATAATAACTTAATAATGATATTTATAATTATGACTATAATGGTGAGGGTGTTAAAAGTAAATCTTTAAACATTGTTAATAGTCACTAACAACTATAATAATTAAAACTGAAGATAACCGTCGAACATGAATCGTTCGATTACATTACAATAATTTTTTTTGTATATTTTTTCAACATAAGTTATTGAACACTTCCGAACAATGCTATTTTGCAGAGAATAAATTTTATTTCAAATTGCATCTAGTTTTTCTAAGGACCTAATATGTACAATGAAACATATATTCACATATGTTGAGTATATTTATTAAAGTATTAAAATAACGATATTTATAAAAAATAAACATTAATAACAACTTTGTTTAGAATTTTATTTACAATTTCCTTGTGTGTTATAAATGAAACACTCATATGTTGCGTATATATTTATTAAAGTATTAAATAAAATAATATAAAAAATTAATAATCCTATTTTGACTTTCCCTGAGCTGCAACCGCTTCCATAGCCTTTTTAACGGTTTCTTCATCCCCTAAGAATTGCAAGCTACCGTTTGGTACAGGATTTAAGTCTTCATCCAAAGTGTACACAAACGGAATTCCGGTAGGTAGGTTAAGGGCCATAATTTGGTCATCAGTCATTTTGTCTAGATGCTTAACAATACCGCGCAAACTGTTACCATGGGCGGCAATTAAAATCGACTTTCCCGCTTTAATTTCAGGAACAATGACATCATTCCAAAAAGGTAACGTTCTTTCAATTGTTAATTTTAACGACTCAAACTTTGGAAATTCATCTTCTGATGGGCCATCAACAAATTCTGGATTTTTTAAGATTATGTCATAGTAAGGATGATCCTTTTCCATAGGAGGTGGGGGAACATCAAAACTTCTTCTCCAAATTTGGACTTGAGCGTCTCCGTACTTCGCAGCAGTTTCAGCTTTGTTTAAACCTGTTAATCCACCGTAATGCCTTTCGTTTAATCTCCAGCTTTTTATTACTTTAAGATCAGTTTGCTGGATTTGTTCAAGTATGTTGGATAAAGTTTTTTGTGCTCTTGTTAATACAGAAGTGTAGGCAACATCAAATTTATATCCAGCGTCTTTTAAAGCTTTACCAGCACTTAATGCTTCTTGCTCACCTACAAAGAAATGTTTTTGTATTATATATGTTACCGGCAATCTGTATAATCCGGTATTCTATACAATACCTAGGCAATTTATAGAAATCCTAAAACGTTTAGGTAATATATGAAATATTATTAATTTTATACTTTGCCTAGATATTCTATAAAATACCGAATGCGAAGCCGGTTTGTGTGTAAAAGGCGAGAACAGAAGTAGATCTACGTCTTGTTTTTACAGAATTATTTTGTTTCGTAAGTTTTTAATACTTATTACTCGATTACTTATAAGCAAATGACATTATGTTAGTTAACCCAGAAAAATTTTAAGTGTAATGTAATTTAATTGTAATTTTATTATAAAGGTACTAGGTGCCTTTTTTTGTACAATAACTTATAGATTATAAAAAAGTTTATTATGAGCAAAAATTGATAAATACTGACCAAAATGTATTTATTTTACACGTTGCCGGTCAACCAACAGGTACTCTATATAATGCCTAAGAATTGTATACATTACCTAGGTAAAGTATCTAAGGGACAATAATCTTCATAATATTTCATACATTGCATAGACACCCCAGGTATTTTATACATTACCTAGGCATTGTATAGAGTACCTGAATTATATAGATTGACGGTAACATATATAAGATTTTTTTTGAATATATCGGGTCATATCAATGACACTTGAAGGTTAATTCGAACTTACCTTTTGCACTTAGTTTAGCATCAAACCAGCCGCAGAAAAGATTTTTCTCGTTCCACTCCGATTCGCCATGACGAACCATTACTATTTTATACTGCACCATTTTATTAAATTTAAGAAATTCTCTAAGGTACACCGGTACCGTGTTTAAGTGTTTCGATAACTGATACTTTAAAGTGCCGCGCGAGGCAGCACTTGACCCTATATATTGTACTGGAACTGCGCACGCATATTCAATAATATTTCAAATAATGTAGAAATAAAAAAAAACTTTATTAAACAATTTATATTTGTAACAACAATGCAACACCAGCCATAGTCCATTTAGCAGGTTTATCTTTAGTTTTTAAATTAAAAGTCCAAACGTAAGTAGGCCCCCTTGTTCGCGTTTTATAAACAGGGCATTCATAAACGTTCCTAAGATCTTGTTTATCCTGCGTAATCGCTCTAATATTAATAACGGGAATACACGGGAAAAGTTCTTTCAATCTCGAATCCATAATCATCCCGGCTTGAGTATCCCAACGAGCGCCTTCCATAAAAAGACCATGGACGTAAGCCCCATCTCGCGGCGCGCTCCTAAAACAAACCATTTTTAATAAAAAATCAAATCTAAACAAATCCAAAAAATAATTTTTACGTAAATTCTTCTTTTTGTTTCTTAGTAACATCGCATTGGAGGCACATTTTGTCTAAAGGAAGTTCGTTTTTTCTCGCTGTACTCTGCATGATCGCTGTTAATAACGATTGGGGATTAAAAAATCCTCCTAACCAAACTGATGATGGTAAGACGAAATCTGTTGACCAAGTTTCAAGTTCTCTTAGACGTAGTGTGAGGTCAACAAACCACGAGGTTAATCCGTTTAATGATGGATAAGCTCTTGCCGTCCACGCAGGGGGGACTTGGTCTAAAAATAAAGAGTTTTCTAAATCTTCCATGTCTGATGTGATTGTTAATTCGCCTTTTAATCCTAAATCAAGTTCTCTAAGAGTTCTTTTAATTTCGCTTGTTAGATAATTCATTCTTTCGCATTCTTGGAAAGCCACTATAACGTACGGCGTTCTTTCCTCCACTTTTCCCATTATCTCCACCATGTTAAAATCTTCAGGTAATTTTTCTAGCATTTCGTCGATCATTTGTTTAACTTTGTCTTCTCTAGAAACTGTTGCTCCTCCCGAAGCTCCAGCATCACGCGGTTGCATTTCAAAGACGGTTTTAAAGAGATCGTCTGCTGTGGTTGTTAAAAATCCTATTTCAGCGTTGGGGTGGAGTCCATATAAATACGGCGATTCAGGTGGAAGCATGTCATCGACGTATTGGTGATAGCCGGAGTAATCCGTGTTTGGGGGAGCTGCAAAATTCGGAGCTAAAAGTAGTTCGCCATCGACGAGATCAGGTTGGAGATATTCCTCGAGATAAGAAATGCATAGTTTTCGATCCCAATCGTCAGTGATATGACCGCCGTACATGATTTCGCCGAAAAGATAGCGTAGATCTTCCCAGGGAACTTTAGAATTGTTTTCTAAGTAGTTGTATAGGACGAAAACGCTAATTGTGAGGTCGCCAACGTTGAATGGATAGATTTTGTTCCAACCTTGAGGGCCAAATTTTCTTCGTTCGGCGACCACGGCGTGAAAATAACAAAGAGCGAATAGTATAACTTTGAATTCGGCTTCTTTTCCGCATTGTTCTAACGTTTCTTGGTTGAAATTAGAAAAGGCTTTATGGATATTAGCTTGCATCCCAGTGGGAGGTTCGTTAGTAATTTTAATGGAAGACTCTAAAATTCCTTGTGGGATTATGTGGGCTGCAGCGGACGCCGCTGGTTCGGCACTCATAAAAACCCTGTAATCAGGATGAGAGCCTTCGCTGTATCTTTCAAGTGTTTTCTCCAAGGATGGTAACCATTTTTTAACTAAATGAATATTTTGGAGGATCACCCAATGTCCTGATCTAGCGGCAATGTCCATCGCGGTTTCCGCGACGACCTCTTGACCTTGCCCGAGGGAGACGTTGTGAAAATTTTGTTTATCCGCCGTAAATCCGAGCTTCTCCCCTAAGGCTTCGACGTCTTTCAAAGGGTTGACCCCCGGGGAGAGGATGAAGAATATAGGAGTCGAGGGGCTGGTCTCCTCAAACGATTTCTCGAACTCAACAGTCTTATTTTCTACGTACTTCGTCCCAAGTTTTTCTTCGATAAATGCCATAACCGCGTATATCATTCGATCAGGGCGTAAAGCCCTCATCATACATAATCTTTGGAGGGCGGTTTTATTTTTCCATTCGGTAGGAAACTTTTCCCGTTCGGGACATTCGCACTCGACGAGTTTCTTCCACCGTTTTTGGGAGCTTTCGATGTCCCTGTCGAGGTTGCGGAACTCGTCTTTAGCCGAGAGGCTGCAGATGCCACCCCAGCTCGAGTTGGACAGGAAGTCCACCGGGCTGGTAACGTGCGGTTTCACGGGAAACCTCAACAGGAAGTCGAGATCCGCAGGAGCAATCTCCTCGCTCATCAGTAGTATCTGGAAAATAGAGGGTTAGATATGTGGAGGTGGTCGGCTGGAGTGGAGTACTTGAAAGGTCATCTGCGATGCGAAAATTAATTTGTCGCACTCGAATAGACCCCTTGTGGTGTACTGGAAAACAGAAAACGATATGCAGTCTATTAAATTATTAACTCTGTCCGGCACAGACTCGGCCGGGTCCGCCCTGGCGATGGCTTTTTGAAATACGACGCTAAAAGCCTAAAACAGAACGATTTTCATGTGGTATTTTAAAACGGGAGATTCTCCCCCGGTAATAAATAATAAAATATACTTTTAACGAGAACTGATAAATAGGATTTATAGTGTTGAGTTCGTTTAAGATGAAGTATAGTAAACTGGCTCGGGCCGCGGCGGGTCTATAATGTTCTCTAGCTTGGTCGATCTGTGTGGATGTAATCTTCGCCTCTGAGACCTTCTTTTCGATTTCAGCAGCGGTTTTCTTGGTAGTTTCAAGATTTTCTACGAGGCTAGTGTCGCCAAGGATGTTCTCGCCGGCGGAGGAGAGTCTCGAGAGCAGGTCGTCTTCCAGCGACTTGAGCATAATCTTGAAATCGTTTTGCTGTCGCGTTAGTTCCGCCTGGAAACGCGTATTGTTATTACCGGCCGGTAATCCATCTATATAATTAATTAATCTGTTCCGCATTGAATATATTTGCCGTATATATGACAGGAAGATTGGGTTAATCGATTCTATTATGTTAATTATGTGTTAAACAGCGCAAACAGTACCATTATGTACTCTAACTGACTACTCTATCTCTATTAATATGTCAATTTGCCGTTACACAATTTGCAGTTATATCTTTCAAAGATATATTGCAATTGAAAAGAAATTAATGGAACAGATTTATTTTATTCAGGTTTTAATATGAATTGGCTGTGAAATAGATTGATGGTAGATGAAAAGAAATTTAAAATTACCTTAAGCTCTTCAAGATCCGGTCGTTCCGCTTTAACAACCTCGGCCAGTAATTGGTCTTCTAATCCATCTCTAGTAACAGTAAAATTAATTAAAGTTGTCTGAGCTTGCATTTCCGGTTTATAATGAGGGTTGGCCAGCTTGGTGTGTAATATGAGCCTGAAGTTCTGGTTATATTCGATTTCCTTGTCGCCGATTTTAATGGCCCTTTACAACAAATTAAATACTATTTTCAAATGACATATATATTTCATACCTACTTTCCCTTCTTAATTAAGTTCCGCCCCAACAGAGTATCAAGGACTGGATCGACGAATTCTCCTATATTCTCCATCAACACCGTCGTCCCCGAGCTTATGGACTTCTCGATCGTGTCCAAAAACCCCTTCTGACCCAACCGGATCACTTGCAATGTCTCCCCGTATTTTTGCTTAATCCACTTGACACCTTGGAGCTGAAAGCGCACGACGAAATTATCCCTAGGGATTTTACTTCGACTCTTTTACCTGCGGATCAATCATCAAGGGCCATCTATCCGAATTTGATAGAATTGTTGCGTTCTCTGTTGACATCCGATCGCTCGGTAATCCTTCATTTTGCCATTTTGCTATTTGTGTATCATCGGTTAATAATGATAAAGGATCTAAATCTATTGTTATTGGAATTGGTGGCTAAAATATTAAATATTATTAACAAATAAATATACACTGTTGGAAATAATTCACGAGCACACCCTATATAATCTGAACGCGTGAAGATAAATCCATAATATTTGCGGAGTAGACGAGTTTATTCCGCGAGTTTCGAATTTTTCTGCCGCAGCATTGTTGACTAAGCCTCCCTTCCAAGTGGAACTTTCCGGAGCTATAACCGAAGTGGGTGGGAGATACTGGTTATTTTTAGTGTGGTGTGAGGGACCAGTTTGGTTGTAGGTATGCACATTAATCGCCATGTCCAACGAATGCTTCCATGGCCAGCTCGTTCTCCGGATCTGAATCCTATCAAACATGTTTGGGACATGATAGGTCAGAGACTTCAATGTTATCCGGCTCCCCCGGTTAAAGTTGAGGAGCTATGGAGGCGAGTTGATACTCTCGCTATTGATGTATCCCCTCCCAGCATTAAGAGTAAGTTACACTACTTCCATACCAAATTTCATAGCGCTATACACACGCGTTTAAATTATACAGGGTGTGCTCGTGAATTATTTCCAACAATGTATTCGTTGAAAACATACATCAAGATTCTTTAAAAATGGAAACCACATTTTATGAAGCAAATCCAATCTATACTGCTTTGTAAAACATCCAACATACGAAATAAACGCTGTGATGGAAAGAACATCACCAGGAAGCATGGTTCCTTGTTGAATAAAATTATCAACAGCTTGAGCCCAACGGACATTTTCACTAGCTAACCCCCCAACTAATCTGTTGGCTAAAGAAATGGTTGCGTTTGTAGCATCTGCTTCTTGCTGACAAAGTGTTTTTTCGGCAATAGCTTGTTCGAAATCAGATGTTAATTTAGCTAATTGTTCCTCTAACGACTAAAATTGAAATAATGTTTTTAAAAGTTTCGTTTTAAAATGCCGAAAGAAACTTACGGCAACTTTTCGTTTAATACAACTCAATTTCTCTTGTGCGGCTGCTAATTCGGCGTTGGCTTGGGCGAGCGCTTTCCGTTTCGGTTCAACATCGCAAAAGACTTCATAAAACTTGATGATGTTAATAACCCAAGCGCATAAACCAGCGGCTGCAGCTGATTTCGATCTTATAAAGTCGGGGTCAAATTCGGGATCTTTCAAGTAAGGTTCTATAGCTTTTATTACGTCCGGGTGGATGTTTTCTTTATCGTAATTAATTAGGGCATCTAAAAAGGAGTCTACTTTGGCCATGACGATTTTAGCGGCTTTCCAGCTTCTATCTTTTGGGATCTTTCCACCAGGAGCAAGAAGAACCATAACTGCGGCCGTAACATTTGTAACTGCACCTGGAGGAGACCCAAAGCTCTTTAATTCGGTGAGGTTGGCTTTATTTAATGTGTTGAGAGCATCTTGTGCTGCTGTTAAAGCTGGTTCTGCTTTCATAAGATCTTCCTCGCAGTCTTTTTGTTTTTTCGTTACTTCTTCGGCGATTATAGCAACTTTTTTTTCTTCTTCATCAGCTGCGTTTTTTTCTATGCAAACCTTTTCGGTTTCGATTTTTACCATTTCGATTAATGCGTCAGCTGCTTCGTTCTTTTCTTTTAGCTCCACTTCTTGGACGGCTAATTTTACTTTTAATTCGTCTACTTGTTCCGCCGTGCTTTTGAGTTTATCTAAGCCGTTTTCTAATCTTTGAATTTTCCCGGATAATTCTTCCGATTTTTGGCGCAAAAGTTTTGAATAAAGATTTATTTGTTCGAGATAAGATTTTGGGGTGGTGTAGTTATATCTTCTTTCGTTTTGAAGGTATTGCTTTGACATTGTATTAACGGAAGTGTGGACGTAAGCCATGAATTGTGCAACTTGATCTCTTAGGGTTTCGGGAAGTACTTCCAATGCCTCTAGGAATCTGAGTGAAACGGATACTAAAGCCTCTTGTGGCCATTCGTGGAACCAGTTTATTTGAGTACAATTTATGATTGCTGGGAATTTTCTAGAGCGAATTCTGAGCGTTGAACCGACTGGGGAAAAGCAGAGAACTATTTTTAATTGCCTCCTAACCCTGTCTATAAAAAATTTCCAACATGTCTCTCTGGTATCGGGCAATCCAGCTCCTTTCACTTCGTTCCGAACCCCCCCAATTATATTTTCTATTTCGTCATCGGGAAACATGTCGGGAACCTCCCCCGACGACAACATATCATTTATTAACACTAAAAATTGTTCGTTGGGAACTTGCGCATCTGTCATTAAAAACATTATCCCAACATTCTTTAAACCAGACTTTAAGTACAATCCTGAAACTTCATTTTTCAAATCTTGAATGCCGTAACCTTTTTTCAGTTGGATTTGAACTACTTCCAAAGCGGATATGAAGGCTGCTAATCGGGATAAGGACTGTTTTCCGCTTCCGCCCACTCCTACTAAGAGAGCACTTCCTCTCGGGGATTCTAAAATTCTATTAATACTGCAAAAAAAAAGATTTTTATTACGGTTGTTAGTTTAAAATATCGAACGACGTTTTATCTTGAAGGGACTTGATACAATAAGAGTTGAAAGTTCGGCGAGCAAACTTTTCGTCCCAAATAAAATTGTGAGTAAGTTCTCGTGTCGATATATTGTTGATTTGCGCGATTTGGGGTTAAAAAGTTTTATGAGGGTCGTTGATCTCAAATGAATTGTTTGAACAAAACTAAATTAGTTTAACTTCTTTTCCTTACCGGCAAACGTGCATCATGGCGTCTTCAAAGAGAACTAAGTTCATTGCTGCGACGAGGTCGTTGTAGCTGACCATGGCCTCTGTCAGTAGTTTGTGCAAAGTGGCCCATTTGTCAATAGGCATGTACTTGGGCTCACCAATCCCGCCGGCGAAATGGCAGTATATATTGGGCTTCTCGAAGACGAAAGACTCGTCGACATCCTGCGGAGTATATCTTCGTTAAAAAGGGAAAATAACGCGATTATAAACTAACCTCGAAGTGTTTCTTGAAGATATCATGGACAAGTTTGCTAAATGCATCGATATCTTTATCCTCAACAAGTTTATCACCGTAAACACGTTGACATTCATGTGTCCAAAGTCGTACGAGATCACAGGGTTCATTTACACAATCATTTGTACTAAATAATAGTCCCTAAATAAATTTTGTTTTATAATATACACTGTGTTAATTAATTATCGTAACCCACGTGACTTGTGTAATATTGGCTGCATATCTCAATATGATGTGATATTGGTTGTATACTTTCGATGATGACGTCGGGTACGATAATTAATTAATATAGTAATGAGAGTTATTACCTGGAAAATATTTGAGATATCTCTTAAATTGAAGATGTAATGAAATTTGATTGCGGTGGGTAAAAAGATTTGTGATATTTTATGATGTAATACAACTGATGCAGCAACAACGTTATCTGCAAACTTGAAAAGGTGAGGTTGGAATTTAAGTTCGGGATTTGCAAGGTGTTGGCTGAGGATGGCGTGGTAAATAGTAGTGAGAGCATCGCTACCAGGAAAACTGATGGCGAAGACGTAGAAATGACGTTGGAGGCGCGGGTTAATTGTAAAGCTTCCTGCGGTTGGGTTCATACACGAAACGTACTGGCAATTATGTATATCCTTCAACGTCAATTTGTTCCGGTCATACCAATGATTGTAATCCAGGTGCTGCCTAATGAGCGTGTGCGGTTGTACTGTTCCGTACGTGTCGACCTCCGGCATGTTCATATCGTCTAGGAAATAGATGAGGGTCTTGTTACCGGGTGGTCCGTAATTTCTCCCGGCTTTTTTCTCCAAAGGTCGCTCCAGGATCTTTTGCAGCATTTCCGACGTCGTGTAGAAATTAAATGAAACGTTCGTTACGGCATAATTCTCGGATAAGGATGTTAATTTCTCCCCTACTAATACCGTCTTACCGCTACCAGCTGTTCCAACTAACATCACCGGGTGCTTCTTCTCCATTAATAGATTCAGGAAATATCGCACCCTTATTGACTCTGCGGTGTGCACCAGGACAGCCTACGGAATTTCGTTTCTCTTTATCGGGCTTTTAGCTAATTGGTAATTTATTTCGACTTAATTGTGGGGGCAAAACGACCACGTTAAGGACAATTCGAGATCGACCCCGTTTGCTGACTCAGCTATTTTACTTGCTTTTTAATGCCATCGTTAAAATAACATTGAGAGTCTTCTCTCGGCTACGCATTTCTCTTACTTACCTCATCAACCCTTTTATTTCGGCATTTTTATTATCTGACATTTCATTCATTCTTGTAAAGTTACCCACATTCTATTCATATTCTTATTATATTTTATATATACTAAAAACTATACTTATGAAGTATCATAATAATACTTAGGGCGGATACTGTGTTTCAAGTTTATGGAAGAAATAATCTTGACCGACTTCGAAGACGTCGACCGTCCCAAATAATAATATAACTTGGGGCCGCCGACGTCGTCGAAATCGGCCGAGATTATCTCTTCCATAAAGTTGTTACTGGTATCACTCGGGATTCGGAACATAACACCAAGTCTATCCTGCTTGAAGTTTTGTCGGAGTACGACAACGCACTGAAGATGCCAAAACGTCAGGCAAAATAAATTTAAGATGTGGCGGCCGACGTCTTCGAAGTCGGCCGAGATTATAAACACGTTTTTTTAATAAAATCTTTGGGTGAGGTTGGTTTCTGAAGTTTGGTTTTGGCTTGGGTTGGTTTAACTTGGGATGCTTCGACTTGGGTTGAGTCGGTTTTGCTTTGTCTTGGGTTGGTTTGTAGCTTGGAACAGTTGGCAAGAGGTAAGATACCATTTGGCCAGATCTTTAGTATCACGACCACCAGAATTTTGAAAATCACGTGAGGAAAACCTTCATTTCTTTGAATCTGATGGAAGAAATAATCTCGGCTGACTTCGAAGCTTACAAAAAACTAAATACTGCTTATAGAAGTCTATACTGCTTGAAGTTTTGTCGGAGTACGACAACGCACTGAAGATGTCAAAACGTCAGGCAAAATAAATTTAAGATGTGGCGGCCGACGTCTTCGAAGTCGGCCGAGATTATAAACACGTTTTTTTAATAAAATCTTTGGGTTAGGTTGGTTTCTGAAGTTTGGTTTTGGCTTGGGTTGGTTTAACTTGGGATGCTTCGACTTGGGTTGAGTCGGTTTTGCTTTGTCTTGGGTTGGTTTGTAGCTTGGAACTGTTGGCAAGAGGTAAGATACCATTTGGCCAGATTTTTAGTATCACGACCACCAGAATTTTGAAAATCACGTGAGGAAAACCTTCATTTCTTTGAATCTCATGGAAGAAATAATCTCGGCTGACTTCGAAGCTTACAAAAAAACTAAATACTGCTTATAGAAGGCTATAGTGTCGGCATAAGAGTAGATATTGCTAATGGACGACTACATACTACTGGCAGAAGACTAGATACTGTTGGCAAAATGTTACATACTACTTTGAGAAGACCACATACTGCTAGCAGAAGACTAGATATTATTATGAAAGAGTTAAATTTTACTTGGATAAAATATTTACCTGTAAAGGCATATCTGGATCTAATTCAAATCGTCCCAAGCTTTCCGCCCATGGTACGAATTGTTTAGTTTCACAATCAATAAAATAATCAAAAACAGTTCCACCAGTTGGAAATTTGACACTTTTGAACTCATTGACCCACCACTTTGTAAATTCAACTCTATAATCGGTGGCCTAAATGAAAAATAAAAATTAGCCTCGATTAATACTTTTGATTAAAACCTACTTGTTCTTGAAACATAGCTGATCCAAAAGCCCAAACACTACTAAAAACAAAGTATAGTTCGTACCATTCTTTGGGGCAATCTTGTGGGGTGTTAATTGGTGATAATAGGCAGTCTAAAAGATGGCAAAGCATTTCGATGTGGGTTGTTTCAACGATGGGTGTAATTTTTTTGAATCTTGTTCGGACGTTTTCTAAGCAAATTGGGATGTATTTGTCGAAAAGCATGATTAAGTTTGATTTTTCAACTTGGTTTGTTCTTGTTTCTAGCCAACTTGTTACGTAGGGGTTCCATCCCAAATCTTGTGGGTTGATGTAAAGTATTCCAGCTCGTGAAACGGTTGCTGGAGTAGCTGTTTTTAAATTTGATATTTCGAAAATAAGCCTCATTGTGGGTGTGAGGGCGATTCTTTCGTTGCTAGCTAATGTTAAAACTTTGTTATCATCCATTACCGTGTTTAAGGATTCTATCCACATAGGATCGATGTCTCCATCTAAAATTATCCATTTGGGATGTTCACCGACTAAATTTGCTTGGTCTCTCATCAAAACGGAAAATAACCCGTCTTTCCATTCCCTAGTGGCCGGATTAATTATTCCAAAAAGTTCATCGTTCGTTACAGCTTTCGGATTTAAGTCATTAAATACCGGTTTTCGTTTCATGTTTTGGTACGTTTTAAATAGAGTTTTCCACACTTGTGTTTTTCCGGTTCCCGCGTTTCCAACTATAAATACCGAATGCCTAACTTCTAATAATTCTTCCAATTGAACTACTTTTAAAATGAAATTATCTTCTGGTTGTAGCAATAAATCAATAGCTGCTTGTTTGACGGTTCTTTCAAAATCGGCGTCTCTTTTTCTAGGCACTTCTAAAGCTGGGAATAAATCACCGATTAATCCCATAAAAACTGGAGTGTCGTCAGTGACGATTTTAGGGATATTGAAGTCTCTTAATGCGCGCATAAGAACTTCTTCTTCTGGGCGCCCTGGATCACCTCTCTAAAAATGTTTTTGTTTGAAAAATAATTAAGTGTTAAAAATAATTGTACTTTTAAAGACCCCGCGACAACTAAAACCGATTTTATTGCTCGTAATCCCCAATCATAATGATCTTGTTTAGATAAAAGCTCTTTGCATAAAGTGTATAAAGTAATAAACTTTCTCGCTAAAATTTTGGCCTCTTGAAAACCTTCTGCAACTAACATAATTTCGCAGATAAGCTCAAAATCTGGTACAACCATAGCACAAGGTCTGAATTGGGATTTTAAGTTTTCTGGGAGCTCCGTTCTCCCAGCATATCCAGGATTCATAGTAATAAAAATGCCCACGGTTGGAACTAAAGCTATCATCTCTCCCATAAAATCGAATTGACTTTTCTTATGTCTAATCGCGTCTAAAACCGACTTTACTTGCACGGCAACTACAGATAAAACTTCAACGGAAATCCTATTAAATTCATCAAAACAACCCCAAGCACCAGTTTGTGCCAATCCTTTATAAATATTTCCGCAAGATTTATAATCCATTTGTTCCGAACAATTAAAAACGTAAACTGATATTCCTAAAGCCCTTCCAAGATCTTTTGTTGTCTCTGTTTTTCCTGTACCAGCCGGACCAGCTGGGCCACCTCCCATAACAAGATGTAAAGACTAATAAAAATTAATACAAATTAATTTATTTTGTACATTTATAAATACCTGAGTTAAAGTGATATAACACCGATCTGTTAAAGGTGTTATAACTAATCTTGGTGTATTCCCCAAATATTCATAGCTATACGTAAATTCAGCATCGCAAATGTTAGCAAAGCAATGATTAACTTTTTCGCACCACCGATGTCTTAATTGGGAAACCCATTGAAATGCCGAAGCGTTATCAATTTTCATTTGGATTAATTTACTCACAACATCTCTCGAATGAACATCTATCGTGCATATCGTCATAATTTTTTGACGATCTTGCCGGCTTAAATCGCCGATTAACAAAGTAATTAAAGTACTTAATTGGGAAACTTGCTTTTTGTAATAATCTCGAATGGCGTTATCATAACCTTCTTCAAGCCGGCCAAATGCTATGTTAACTTCGGTTGTCCACCAAATTTGTGTTCCGCAAAGAGAAACTTGCGCTGGGAAATCAAATAACCAATGATCTCTAGGTTTTTCTTCGTACGATAACACCCCTTCTCCGATTCCTTTTCGAATCGTGGATCTCATACAACTTTGAACTCTATTTAACCATACTTCTACAGGTCCTTCACTTGAACATGAAGTTTCAAAAGAAACGTATTCACCATCTTTTGCAAACATCCCTAAAATGATATTTGAATCTTCGTTGCTTTCAAATTTTAATTTAGCGATTGAATCGAATAATTTTGTGAGGTGTTTGCATATTAATTCAGGTTGATTTCCGTTTGATAAAATATCAAGAAGATCCGCGGAAGATACGAAATAAAATCTTGGAAAAGCCAATCGTTTTGTTTCTAAGTAAACCGCTAAAGCTTTTTCGCAAAGAATTAATTTGCTTTGTAAAGCTTCTAAAATGGTTAAAAGTCCATCGCGATTTGTGGATTCAACAACATTTGGAACTTGGGACATTTCTTCCATGAGAAGTTTAAAATCTTTATCAATTTGAATAAATCTTTCTGAATCTTCTGGAAGTTGTTTTCTAATATCGTCAGAACTCATAAAAATAGATTCCAAATGAGTCCAAGTTCTTTGAACTTCAAACCAAACCGTTATAACTGAGTCGGCTAATCCTAATTTTTGTTGCCAAGCTGATACTTCTTCCAAGAAATGAGCAATAAATTTAGACGTAATCAAATTTTGTAATTGTACTTGATTTTCCTCTAAAGTCTCAATTAACTCTTCGCTAGCCCTAAGAAGTTTCGATTTCGTCCTTGGATGAATTTCTTGCTCAAACGACATCGCAGACCACGTCGTATTTAGATCTCTCAAAATTTTTTCCATCGACATCTCTTTTATTGCTTTATCAACAATATTTTTCACTTCATCTTCGCATTCATGAAGATTTAATTCAAGAAGTTCTGCCAAAGTTGTGTTATGATCCATCACAATCTTTGTCTAAAAATGTTTTTGAATTAGAAATTTTTTCAATTTTATTTTAACAGAAAGAGATTAGGCATCTATTAAGCTGTACTTACGAACATTTCTGGATCGAGAAATTTTATTAATTAGCTTATATACAAAGCCAAAGAATGATGATGTTTTTGAGATGGTTAATTATTCACAAAATTGAGAGATTGAAATAGGTAAGTGGTATTCAGAGTAATTCCAAAGGTAGTGGGGGTGTTGTATTTGCCGGAACTCAACTTTATATGCAGTGTGTTTGATTTTAATTGTCACAATAGATATCTTGACTACTGTTGGAGATTTAGACAAAATGTTATCTAACTTCTATTATCTGGCATATTCAAAACTCTCCAATAATAATCAAGATATTTGCCGTGACAGCTAAAATCAAACACTGTATACTAAATTAATATTGCCGGTTAAAACTTATTATCTTAATTATAACTTAATAATTATCATCTTAAAAACTTTTTGAATCGTAGATTATCGAGTTGAAATAAATAAGTGTAATGATAGTATGAAATTGGTGTAATTTTGTGTATTTATGTTACTTACTGTTAATTCTTTGGGTAAAGCGGCTAAATTCTGTAAAAAACATTAAGAAAAGTGTGAAAAAAAATGTTATGTACAATGATTAAGGATTAGAAGACACTATGTACAAAAATATAAATATAAGAGTACACCAAACATATTTTTTCGAATACCTTCGTAGAACTCATGAGTTGATCCCAATGTCTTTCTCGGATAGCTGGGTTTTGGAGCTCTCCCACAGCTTTAAGAGATGTGAGGGTGTTTTTAACGGTGGCTTCCAAGCCTAAATAAGTGTCCCAAGTTCTCATCTCTTTATCTAACATTCGTATTTCTTTAGCAAATTTTTTGCACTCTATATCCATGTTTTCTACATCGATTTTTCTCCATGGCGTTGTTTTCCAATCGTCCACGCAAGTGTGGACTATGTTAATATAATCCCAGAGTTGCTAAAAAAATATGTTTTGAGTTTTTTGTGTGAAGGAAGAAATTATTTAGTTACTTTTAACATTTTTAATTCTTTTCTGCATTGTTTTAATAATTTGAAATCAGGCACAGTTACTTCGAAAAGAGATCCGGATGCGTGGATATTCTCCATTTCATTTTCTAACATGCTAAGATCTTTATGAATCCTATCGATTAAAATGTAAGGAGTTTTGCAGCCGTATTTGAAGAACTCGTATCTTTTAAATAATTCCCTATAAAAAATTACTTTATAATCAAAGTTGGTTATTTTTTTTCTGATGAAGGTGACTTCAGCTGCTTGTAATGGAGCTACTTGTTGTTTAACTGTTATTGCAATTTTTTTGGTGTTGTTCCATTGTTCTGGTAATTCTTGTAGCCAAACGTTGACTTCTTCGGGAATATCTTGATCGTAAAATGTTAATAATTCGATTGTTTCGCGTAAAGGTGCAAACATCTCATCGGTAGTTGCTTGTCGTTCTTTTACGTTTAATAGGTAACCCATAACGTTAACTAAAGCTTCGTAATCTCCTTCAACAACTGGTTGTTGAAGACCTTCATCGGCAGATCTTATGAATGATCCTAAATCAGATAGGCTGTGGGTGACCATATCTACTAAATGTTCTTTAAACATATTCCCCCATTTTCTAACTGTGTTTAATAAAGCTTGTTTAAATGGTTTTACATCAAGTTTGAACCATGAGTTAAAAATTTTTTGGGTTTGAATTTGTTCGATTTCTGCATATAAGCTTTCGAATCGATCGATTTCTTCTCGGAATGAATCCATTCTTGGCGGGCATGGTTTAGGAGCTTGGGAGTCTTTTAAAAATAATAAATCGATTTCTTCCCCGGTTAATTGTCTTCCATATGTTAAAAATTGTTGCAAATAATCATCGCGATCGTCCAACCATAAATAAGAATAAGTTTGGTAGTTATCGCAAAACTCAAACGCATCGTCTACAACGTTATCAACATTTTGCAAAATATCATCGCTCATTTCCTTTATATCACTGTTGTTTCTGATCTCTTCTTCGTAAGTTTGCGTGCAAGTTTTTGAAAATCTCGGAACTATTCCAGCTATTTTCATGATATCTTCTATTAAGACTAAGATTAAGTTCTTAAAGCTATCTTTATGAGAGGGATCCATTGGAGGCAAAAACACGATATTGGGTGCTTGCAAAATTAATTGGGACTCAAAAAGCGGAGTAAGCGAATTGCAAGGATCCATATGTTCATTTAAATAACTCAAACTGCAACCAACAGATTGATACAAATAACTCATTAAAATCTGGTCAATATAATCAACGTATTTATTCCACTTCAAACTATCTTGTTTATCTGCCATCCCGAAAAGTTCCATATTTTGATTCAAAAGGATCATAATCTTATCAGTTGCTTGGATTATCTCCGAATATCTCTTCGCCGTTCTTTGTTCTCGCTCTTCCACGCAAAGAACTGCGTCTTTCTTCGATTCTTTTCGTTCAAAAAGTGGTTGCCTCGCAAAAGGTATCAAAATATTTTTGATTTCAACCAAATTTTCTTGACTCCTTTGAAGATGATCTTGAAGCCCACCAACTAACTCGTGAAGTTTTATCATGAAATCCCACAAATCTATTTTGAATAATATTGATTAATATTGATAAATAAAGATTTATTTTAATCACCTTCAGAGTTCCAACAAAGATTTTTTTCACCCCTCTGCACTAATTTATCAATTTCCTCTAATTCAGTTTCAATCAATTGGAACTCAACCTCTTTACTAGTTCTTCGAATTTTGTTGTACCACTCGATGGTGGTGTTGAGGCTAGTTATGTATTTTCGGAAAGTTTCGTTTCTTTCCGCCATTTTTAACGCGACTTCCGGAATCTCCTCAATACCCATATTCCTCAAATAATGGACTTCTCTTAAAATAGCTGCAAGCTAAAATTTTAATTGCAATATTTTTGATTAAATAAAAATGATTTACAGCTGTGTTAAAATTTGGGTACAAATCTTTCGTTTTAACGTTTCTTTTTATTAAACATTGTTTAAGATTCGATTCTATTTGGCCGGGAACTTTTTCTGTCCACTCTATGAAAAGAGCTTTGTCAAAATCGCGAAGTTGTTGCCCCAAATGATCGAATTTTTGAATTAATTCCAACGCTTTATCGGATTTTGTTATCCTAAAACATTAAATAATTATATTTTTTGAAATAAAGTTTGATTAAAATTATTACGGGTGTTGTAACTTTTTGAATTGTTCAATAGGGGATAAAATCCTTAATCTTAAATTCCTGGTCCACCTTAAACTACCAGAAACAGGGGGCATATACTTATCAACGACAAATTCGCCATGTTTTCTTTTATGTTTTAATTGTTCTCTGAAAAGAAATTCGGCCGTTTTAATTTCCTCCTCTAACATCTCAACGATTTTGTTATATTTGCTTGTAAATTCTTCTTTAATCAAAGGTCTATCGAGAACTGATCCAGCTATGTTGATTAATTTATAAACACTTTCAAGGTTGTTGCAATCTTCGAAAGCTTGAACCAAAATGGAGGAAAGTTTTAGATCCATCTCGAATATTTTTTGTTTGAACTTTGCGAAATCTTCCACAAATGATTCGTCATCTGGATCGAGGACGTCGTAAGATTTTCCGGAAAACACGGAAAAGCATGACTGGAATTCGCCGAAAACTTCCACAACCTTAGCGCTTAGGTTTCTACCTTTTAGACCACCGATTTCAACCTTCTCCAGTTTTGAAAATTCTAAAATTGTGTTAAAAAACCATTGTATGGTTTGTAATCTTTCTAAAAAAGCGAAAAATCTTTCGAAAACTGTGTTGGGATGGAACGTCCATAACTCAGGCGGTCGATCTTTATAAAATCTTTGCAAATTTTCTTTATAATAAGTAAAGAGGCTGAAAAACCTTTTTAAATGTCTGATTGTTATTCCGATGCGTTGCATAGCTTCATCTGTATCGCTATGAAACAATGTGGTTGGATCCAAAAACTTCTTTGCTTCTTGAATCAATAAATTACAAACTTGCTTTAATAAAACAATCAGTTTGACTTGATCGTAATATTTTGAATTGCTCCAAATTAAGCAAATAACATGTATCAACGGTGCGAAAAGCGGGAGATTATCAGAAAAGTCGGTGTCTTGTAAAACGTCAATATGCTTTTTTAATGGCAACAAATATAAGCAAATATCTTTAGCTTCAGCTAACCCCATCACAATATTTTTGAAAAGTATTTTAAAACAAGAATAATACGCGCTATTTGTTTTCTCTAAAATAACAGCCATACTTTTTACTTTATTCTCTTTCAACTGTTCATAAATAAATTCAAGATTTTTTAACCGCTGGTTCCAAAATTGAATTTCCAAAGATGGAACAGGATTTGAATTGTTTAATTTTTCGGAGGAATCGTTTGCCAAAACATCATTTACTTGCGCAGCCCATTTTATAACCACACCTTCTATTGCACTTTTTAAATACAAATCACAAATTTCACCATTACTTTCTATTAATAATTTTTCCACTTCGTGCACCTTTTCAACACCCACAGGCATTGGCAGAACTGTTTGTCCATTTACATGACCTTTTACCTAAGAATAAAATCGAATTTTATTTTTGGACAAAATTAAAACAAATTTTTTCATGAGAAATTTTTTCAAATAGTTCTGGGTTTGAAAGAGCAGATAAGGTGGTACAAATGATTTCTGCCAAAGGATAATTAGAAGTTTTTCAGCTTCTAATTTTACTAAAATTACTTACTAAAATACAAAGCATTACTTTGCACTTTAGTTTTGGCAATTGACTTTGTGAAACCTGGTAGATAATGGAAAAAGCAATCTTCGAAGACGTCGGCCGCCCCAAAATCATGAACACCAAGGTCTTGACTCAAATCACTACTCGTCAGGGTTCTGCCAGTTTCTGGGTTCGCGATACTGGAGGTAGCCGACGTCTTCGAAGACAGCCGTGGTTATTACAAATTAAAATTATAGTATTTATGCGTGAGTACAACCCTATCTAGTTTGAAATGAATGGAAGAAGTAACCTCGGCCGACTTCGAAGACGTCGGCCGCCCCAAAATCATGAACACCAATACCTTGACTCAAATTACTACTCATCAGGATTCTGCCAATTTCTGGGTTCATGATCCTTCGAGGTAGCCGACGTCGTCGAAGGCAGCCGTGGTTATTACAAATTAAAATTATAGTATTTATGCGTGAGTACAACCCTATCTAGCTTGAAATGAATGGAAGAAGTAATCTCGGCCGACTTCGAAGACGTCGGCCGCCCCAAAATCATGAACACCAAGATCTTGACTCAAATTACTACTCATCAGGGTTCTGCCAGTTTCTGGGTTCGTGATACTTGAAGGTAGCCGACGTCTTCGAAGACAACCGTGGTTATTACAAATTAAAATTATAGTATTTATGCGTGAGTACAACCCTATCTAGCTTGAAATGAATGGAAGAAGTAATCTCGGCCGACTTCGGTCTTGACTCAAATCACTACTCATCAGGGTTCTGCCAGTTTCTGGGTTCGTGATACTTGGAGGTAGCCGACGTCTTCGAAGACAGCCTTGGTTATTACAAATTAAAATTATAGTATTTATGCGTGAGTATAACCCTATCCTGCTTGAAATGAATGGAAGGAGTAACCTCGGCCGACTTCAAAGACGTCGGGCGCCCCATAATCATGAACACCAAGGTCTTGACTCAAATCACTACTCATCAGGGTTGTGCCAGTTCCTGGTTTCGTGATACTTGGAGGTAGCCGACGTGTTCGAAGACAGATGTGGTTATTACAAATTAAAATTATAGTATTTATGCATGAGTACAACCCTATCTAGCTTGAAATGAATGGAAGAAGTAACCTCGGCCGACTTCGGTCTTGACTCAAATTACTACTCACCAGGGTTGTGCCAGTTCCTGGTTTCATGATCCTTGGAGGTAGCCGACGTCTTCGAAGACTGCCTTGGTTATTACAAATTAAAATTATAGTATTTATGCGTGAGTACAACCCTATGTAGCTTGAAATCAATGGCAGAAGTAATCTCGGCCGACTTCGAAGACGTCGGCCGCCCCAAAATCATGAACACCAAGATCTTGACTCAAATTACTACTTATCAGGGTTCTGCCAGTTTCTGGGTTCGTGATACTTGGAGGTAGCCGACGTGTTCGAAGACAGATGTGGTTATTACAAATTAAAATTATAGTATTTATGCGTGAGTACAACCCTATGTAGCTTGAAATGAATGGAAGAAGTAACCTCGGCCGACTTCGAAGACGTCGGCCGCCCCAAAATCACGAACACCAATACCTTGACTCAAATTACAACTCATCAGGGTTCTGCCAGTTTCTGGGTTCGTGATTCTTGGAGGTAGCCGATGTCTTCGAAGACAGCCGTGATTATTACAAATTAAAATTATAGTATTTATGCGTGAGTACAACTCTATCCAGCTTGAAATGAATGGAAGAAATAACCTCGGCCGACTTCGAAGACGTCGGCCGCCCCAAAATCATGAAAACCAAGGTCTTGACTCAAATTACTATTCATTAGGGTTCTGCCAGTTTCNATGCGTGAGTACAACTCTATCCAGCTTGAAATGAATGGAAGAAATAACCTCGGCCGACTTCGAAGACGTCGGCCGCCCCAAAATCATGAAAACCAAGGTCTTGACTCAAATTACTATTCATTAGGGTTCTGCCAGTTTCTGGGTTCGTGATACTTGAGACGGCCGACGTCTTCGAAGTCGGCCGAGGATACTTTTTGTGTCAGTTTTTAGCCAGATAGGCATTATACTATGTAAGCACGGCAGTAATATAATGAGTACGCCTCTAATGCACTCCCAAATACAGTGTGTTAATTAATTATTGTAAACGACGTCATCATTGCAAGTATGCAACCAATATCACAGTATTAAGTAAAATCGCGTGTTGCGCGTTGTGGGATTGTTAATCGGTGAAGTTTATTGCAATTGAATGCTTTGTAAATAGTGATGTATAAAAATGTTTGAGGCGCGTGGTTAGTTTATAAAAATATTGATTATACTATGTGCAATAAAAGTAATAAAATAAATTTTTTCGTACAAAGTAATATCTGCGTGTGTCACATGGAGAGCCAAAGCCAATTTAGTTGTGAATTTTATCTGGTGCAATCGTTTATTTTGATAAAAATGGTATTTTTCAATACGACCATTGTTAAATCGCTACAAACCGTCGCATGTTATTCTAGATAATTGGAAGCCGTGCGCGGTGGAAACAAGGAAAATAATTGGTATTTCTTTTTTAGTCCTGAGGGTGGTAAAGGAAGCGGAAAAGCTTACCTGGTAAACGGTACTCTTCAAGCTGTGGACGTGCTTCTGCACGTCTTTGGCGATGACCGCGGGCCATTTGTCGTGGTTGGTGGAGTTGGACAGCAAAGGAACGAGCACCTCCTCGACCAACGACGCTAATTGATCGATTATTTTGCAAGACAGGTCGCCTTCGATAATTGAGGAGGAGGGTTTGCCCTTTTCAACGCTACAGAGGGCTCTCTTTATAAAGTAGACGCCTGGGAACAGTCGTCAGGGTTTCTTTAAGCGAAATTCACCGGTAGCCCTTACCTTTGCTCTTTAAAGGAACCGGGAACGAGTTGCTGGCTTGCAACTGAGCCGATGGCGTTAGGATAATCACCAGGAGAATGGGCAGCGGCCTCTCCAAAAATTTCATAACCACCGCTTTATGCTCCTCTATTGTCATCATTCTCGACCACTTCTCCGGCTTCAGCTTTAAAGTCTTTTGTATAAAAGTACCTAGGTACTCCATGCGTTTATCTACTTGCTGTTCCATGGTTTTCTAGGGAGAAAAGCAGTTTCTTTGCCAATTTCGACTCATTTTCCGCTACTACAAAGCTCCCGGCTTTAAACGACTCTCTCTAAAAGTCTAAATACTTCGCTACTCCTTTTTATTATAGGCACTTGGAAAAATTTTAAGTTTATTTTATAAACGTTTGGAAACAATTCGAAATTCTTCTGCGCCGTAGCATTTTACTCTGAAGAATTTCGAAAAGTAATATTTTATATTTTACTAAATAGGCGAAATAAAACTATGCAACCTAAAAAAAGGGTTTATATTTTGTGAAATAGGTATTTTTAAAATAATATTGCAGGGTCGGTTCAGTTTTTAATTGTAATCGCCGAGCGCTAATGCGCCAGTTTCGTGACGGCGATATTTCATTTTTGTAGCGCCCGGTGTCATCGGGTTACGTGTGTAACGGCGAAATTGAACTCCCAAATTTAGTAATAATAAATCACGAAACTGACCAACAAAAACCGTCGGGATGACATCATCAATATAAAATTCCATTACGCGGCGACAACTGTAAAAAAAATGTCGATGGACGAACACGGAAAATCATTCAGGTTCGTCGCGCGGATATAATTCAATTCGCACTATCAAAAGATCGCCCCTGGTTTGAACAGGTGTTATGGTTTTTTTCAATCAAATTGTTTAAATTAATCTTACTTTTTGATTTTTTGTTCTATGCCGCTTATTATTAGTTTTCAATAAAATTTTCAATTCAAAAATATATATTCATTGTGAGTGTATAGGTATCAAACGTTTGGCGTCCATTATTATTATTAATGGTTACAGCCGAAATATCTTTGGTAATTGTCGGTACATTTCCAGTGGTCGATTTTTGACATCTGTGATTTATCCGCCGACGGTTGCATACATGCGGTGTGATGTCGCGTTTAGATAACGCACTTAATCACGCGTTTAACAATGGAGGCGGCCGGAAACATTTGACAAAGGATTACGGCCGCGTTTAAGGTCTACTCTGGCCGGCAATTTGTTATCCAAGCCGCGTGCGATTATCAGATCTCGAATAATTCGGCGGACACCTCATGATTCTCTTCGTCTTCGATTGTTCTGCTTTACGACGTCCTTGATAAATGGCGTCGACACCGCACTGAATTACCTGCTAATAGTCGACAAGACAGCGTTGAAAATCCAACAGGTGACGTTGTTTATCTCTTGAAATTCACTTGAAAAATACTTGACCATATATCATAATTTACCTACATTTTTTCTGCGCAGTCGTATTACTTTGTTGTGCATGCGCAGAACGACACTTAATATATTTTCATCTGTAATATGCATAAATCAATAAGATAGATATAGAACTCTATCACATTATGCACATTATGTTGATATCAGTAAATAAATAGATGTGTGTTGGTGGATTTTCGAAAAATGGTCTAGATGAATGGCTATTAATGACGGGGCAAACGCCGTATATAATCCGTATTGTTGCCCGGCCATAAATAATTACCTGGGTTGAATAATAAACCATAGCTGGGAATTAATTAAATAATTCTGTCGGCCCGTTCGGTGTTTTGTGACACTTGTTGTCGTGTCGCTTAATTCGAGCCGTCGATTTCGGCGGGCCCGCTTGAATTATTTAAATGCAAATGTAACACGCCGGCGCGGCCCGTTTTAATAATTAATTACTTAATTCGACATTGGGGGCGGCTGTTAATTAAGAAAATAAACTTGGTCGACTAAGTGCCGCCGCGGCTTTGTGTGGCGCAACTTTTTGCCCGAACCCGGGAATCGCCTGGCATTCCGACTTCGAGGGAAGGGCGCATTCTAGGCGGCGTCTAGGGGGTGGCTATATATCATCCCTACAATCAGGCTATTATATTTGCGTGGTTAGATCGTCTCCACAGTTCGTACCAAGACACGGTTTTCCTTAATTTAAATAACGACGACATAAACTTCCAACTAAATCTACAGGGTGGGTCATAATCCTCAATCCATTCATCGTTTAATCTTCCCATCAATCTTTATCATCTATTATCACACTATATTTTAACCAATTATTACTTTATAATTCAACAACAATTATTCTACAATCATCATGTATGTATAAACATTTTTGAATCTTTATAGTCACTAAATTAATTAATATATATATAATATAAAAACATATTATGAACCAAGAGGGTGCTGTTTCCAAGCTTAGAAAAATGATAATTACATTTTTAAACACCCTATATAATAAACAGAGCAATATAACTTAATTCAGAAAGATGGCAGAAAAACACAGAAACTCCTCAAGCAGACGTGGAGACTAATGGTCATCTTTTGAAATATGAAATACACTAATACACTAATCTTTAAGAAGGAGAATTAGGCTCTTGAGTTCTATCCATAAATTGATGACTAGAATGGTATCAGAAGAAGTCAAAACACAAACTACAAAAATAACGATTTTATTGAACCAAAAAGTAAGAGTTTTGCGAACCACATAGATAAAAATTCTTCGCGCAATTGCATAGTCAAATGGGTTGGGTACATTTTATCGGGAAATGCGAGACTACATGGAACCAGACCCCCTAAACTTTTTTTTCATTATGGGTATCTCTATGGTCTTTATGGGTTTCCTAATTCTTGCTTATTTAGGATATATTCAGAAACATACATGTAATGGAAGTTCTTACCACCTTCATTGCTACCACTAATCTGCATGTATTTACATTCATTTTGAGTCCTCTAGTGAGACTGACTTCTAAAGTATCCCATGCGGAATTTCGTTGTGGTAACGACCCAACCCAACCTCACAATTAAGAAAACTCTATATATATATAGGATATTAGATCTAATTGCAAGTAAAATCTGATGGTGTTAGTTTATATCAATCCACTAGTCTTTGAATGTGGTATTTATTTATTGATAAACAACTTTAGACCACCATTTAACTAATAACGGACAATTTTGACAAACTTCCGAATATCTCAAAAAGTTCAATAGATAAGTAAAAGATCGCATAGTATAAATTTGTAGAGAATAAAACCCTCCATCTAATAAGCTAATCAAATATAGGATGTTATATATAACATTTTTGGGTTTTTTGCAATTAAATATGATAAAACGGTAATTACATTTTTGAACAGTCTGTATAATAAACAGAGCAATATAA